GGGTAGATCGGACATCTGGTAACATGTGTGGGAAAGCGTCGTCGGTTACTAAACATACAAAAAATCAGCCAGGGAGTGGTAGGTGGGGCCTGTGAAGTCCGCTACTCGGGAGGCTGAGGCAGGAAATGGTAAATACGAATGTGGAACTCCTGGGAGGCGGGGGTGCTTGCAGTGAGCTTGAGATCATAGCCACTGCATCCGGCCCGAGAGACAGGCAAGACTCTTGTCTCAAAACACCACAAAAAGAATGTCAGTCTCCTGAGACCTGGTCGCTTTAGACCCCCCCCTCAGTCTGGGACCTGCTGAGCCCAGCCCCGTCATCCCCGCCATGTTTTGCCCTCACAGATGTGACCTAGGCCCCTTGACTGGCACTTACTCACACTGCTCAGAGACGGTCCTAAGGGCTCGGCTTGTCTGGGAAAGCGAGCCTGTTCTCCGCCTCATGGGCACGTGGTGTATGTCGCGTCTGACATCCTCCAGGCCTTCACCGGCAGCTCCATGCCCAGGTTCTGGCAAGGCCCAGGATGAGTGGGATCAAAGGAGAAGGACTCTGTCCTGCTAGGACCCAGTCCTTCAGTCGTGGCGTCTGGGCTGGCTGTCATTGCTTAGCACAGATGGAGGCCGAAGGATCTGGCCATTCTGGGCTTCACAGATGTTGTGAGATTTTCCTGGGGGTTTCAGGTGCTGAAATATCCTGATAAAGATGATGAGAGAGAGAGAAAAGATTGAGACCAGAGAGAGAGAAGAGAGAGGGGGAGATGAGAGGCTACAGGGAGGTCAGTCATATCCTCAAGCATTCATGAAAATTTTTCTTTTATTTTTTTTTTATGAGGCAGGTAGTCACTTCGCTCTCACTGTCGCCCAAAGGTGAGAGTTGACGAATAGTGGCGCGCTTCGATTCGGCTCAGGCTGCATAGCTCCGCCTCGCTGCGGGTTCCCGCATTCTCGTGCTCAGGGCCTCGCAATGATAGCTGCGGAACTTACAGCGCCTCATGCCACTACTGGCTCAATGTAACATGCTCAGGCTAAATTTTTTTGATATTTTTAGTATAGAGACGTGAGGTTATTTGTGTTACCTAGGATGGTCTCGATCTCCTGGATCTCGTATTCAGCCCGTCTCGGGTACCTCCTCAAAAAGTGCTGTGCGGATTACAGTGGCTTGTAGTGCCTCACCAGTCTCAAAATACAAAACTTGAAGCGCCTCGGGCCCGAAAATTATAACAAAATACAAATTCATTCCTAAAGAGAAACTGGCCCGTCCCCTAGCCCTCACGGGCCATCGTAACGGGATCCCCAGTGAGCTGGAATCGGCCCCGGGCGCTCATTTCCACCTCTCGACTCTGGTTGTTTGTGGCCACAGGAGCACCCGTATTTGTGTTGGTCCCTTCTTTGAACCAGTAGCCATAAGCAGCAGTAGACTCACTCCAGCCATCCCGGGGGTAGGAGAGGTTGCAAGGCACCATGATGCACAGGCCCTCCTGCACCGTCACCAGCCTCTGCACTTGAAGACTGTAACTGGGATCCTTGTTCAGGGACCCTGGGGAGATGCAGAGGCTCAGCGGCGGCCCCAGTCCCTGCATGGGACCCCCAACCGCCGACCCACTCACCCGCCCCCAGCACAGGCAGCAGCAGGGGCAGCAGCAGCATCTCTGGGCTCTGGGGCTGGGCCTGTCCCGGGACCATCCGGCTTCTGGGCCAGCCTGGCGGGGAAGGAAACTCCTCGAGCAGGAAGCCCGGCAGAGGGACAGTGACCATCCGCAGAGGAGGAACCTCGGGAACCGCAATGTCCTGAAAGATCCTCTCCTGACTTCTGCTTTCACAGGGGAAGCAGCAGGGCAGAGGGCATGAGGCCAGCCCCAAACCAGGAAGGAGCCACCCTGGCCAGCCTCGGGGGTGGGCAGTGCTAGGAGGGGACTGTCAGGGGACACAGGTGAGTCATGGCTGCAGGTGAGGTGATGGATGCAGAGTCCCATTCATTCATTCATTCATTCATTCATTCTCCAGGCAAAATCTACTCCATGCAGTGGGGGGAGGCCAAGAAGAGATGACCAACCAATCCCTGCCCACAGGATCCTCACCTCCACTTATGTCAACTCAGGGTCCCTGGGCTCCCCAAAGGCACTCAGCTCCCCTGCGTGTTGTGGGGCCGTCTCTGCAGCTTACAGCAGGCTCCCAGCTCCACAGTGAGTTGGGGGGCAGTGACATAAGACTCCAGTGAGCTCAGAGGGCCTCATGCTTGGGGTTTACTGCTCTGAGGTTGCCCCCTGGAGATTCTTAATAATTTATCTTTTGATCTGTGTTTTGTAAATGAGGTCTAATTGGTTCATGAAGCCCCACTGGGGAACTTGGACCTTGCATCATAGGGTCACAGCTCTGTCCTCTCTCCACCCTGATGTCCAGACTAGTTTGTGGCTCAGCCCAGCCCCGATTACCCACCTGGGCATAGAGGGGGTCTGGGTTGTGCAGACTCAAGGGCAGGGACCCCAGCACCTTTGAGAGTCTGCACTGCCCACCCTCCCGATTCCCCAAGGCTGAGGATTTGGACATTAACTAGCAAATTTAAAACTCCATGAACAAAATGTGGTTTATCCATTTAATGGAGTATTCTTCACCCCTAAAAAGCAATGACATTCTGACACCTGCCAAACAGATGGTCCTGAGAACATTATACTAAGTGAAAGAAACCAGACAATATTACGTGATTCTGTTCATCTGATATGTCCAGAAGCGGCAAATGTAGAGACAGGAAGTAGACTTGTCATTGTTGGGGGGGGGGCATGGTGGGAAAGAAGAATGGGAAGTGACAGTTTAATGGGTACATGGTTTCTTTTTTCAGTAATGGGAAAGTTCTGCAACTAGATAGAACTGATGGTTGCACAAGAATGTGAACGTACTTATTGCCAATGAACTGTACTTTTTTTCTTTTTTTTTTTCCTTTTGAGTCTTGCTTTGTCACCCAGGCTGAGTGCAGTGGTGCAATCTCGGCTCACTGCAACCTCTGCCTCCCAGTTTCAAGCAGTTCTCGTGCCTCAGCCTCCCGAGTGGCCGGGATTACAGGCATGCACCACCATGCCCAGCTAATTGTGCACTTTAAAATGATTAAAGTAGGCCGGACGCAGTGGCTCACACCTGTAATCCCAGCACTTTGGGAGGCCAAGGCGGGCAGATCACTTGAGGTCAGGAGTTCGAGACCAGCCTGGTCAATATGGTGAAAACCCGTCTCTATTAAAAATACAAAGATTAGGCTGGGTGCGGTAGCTCAAGCCTGTAATCCTAGCACTTTGGGAGGCTGAGGCGGGCAGATCACGAGGTCAGGAGTTTGAGACCAGCGTGACTAGCATGGTGAAACCTCATCTCTACTAAAAATACAAAAAAATTAGCCGGACATGGTGGCATGCACCTGTAGTCCCAGCTACTCAAGAGGCTGAGGCAAGGGAATTGCTTGAACCTGGTGGGCAGAGGTTGCAGTGAGCCGAGGTCATGCCACTGCACTCCAGCCTGGGCGACAGAGTGAGACTCTGTCTCAAAAAAAAAAAAAAAAAAAAATTCAACTCAATATGGATCAGAGACTTAAATCTAAGACCTGAAACCAAAAAATTCTAGAAGATAACCTAGGAAAAACTCTTCAGGACATTGGTCTAGGTAGTGGTATGTATACCATTATCATGGAATATTACTCAGCCATAAGAAAAAAATGAAATAATGTCTTTTGCAACAACTTGGACGGAGCTGGAGGCCATTATTCCAAGTGAAGTAACTCAGGAATGAAAAATCAAATGCCATCTGTTCTCACTTTTAAGTGGGAGCTAAGCTATGGATGCGTAAAGGCATACAGAGATCATGGACTATGATGTCATGGAGGCAGAGAGTAGAACAATAGTTATGAGAGCCCTAGAAGGATGCATGGGTGGGTAGGTGGGGAATGAAGAGCTCTATCTAACAAATATACAGTTAGATAGAAGGAGTAGTTCTTATGTTTAATAGCAGAGTAGGGTGACTATAGTTAACAGTAACATATTGTAGTGGTGGCTTATGCCTGTAATCCCAACAATTTGGGAGGCTGAGACAGGCAGATTGCTTGAGCCTAGGAGTTTGAGGCCAGCCTGAGCAACATGGTGAAACCCCATCTCTATCAAAAAAAAAGTACAAAAATTAAGTGGTGGTGCACACCTGTAGTCCCAAGTTGCTCAGGAGGCTGAAGTGGGAGGATTGCTTGAGCTTGGGGAGATCAAAGCTGCAGTGAGTCATGATCACACCACTGCCCTCCAGCCTGGGTGACTGAGTAACCCTGTTTTTTTTGTTTGTTTTTTTTTTGAGATGGAGTCTCACTCTGTCACCCAGGCTGGAGGGCAGTGGTGCGATCTCAGCTCACTGCAAGCTCCGCCTCCCAGGTTTACGCCACTCTCCCGCCTCAGCCTCCTGAGTAGCTGGGACTATAGGCGCCCGCCACCACACCTGGCTATTTTTTTTGTATTTTTAATAGAGACAGGGTTTCATTGTGTTAGCCAGGATGGCCTTGATCTCCTGACCTCGTGATCCGCCCGCCTTGGCCTCCCAAAGTGCTGGGATTACAGGCATGAGCCACCGCATCCGGCCTCAGAGTGACCCTGTCTTAAAAATAAACAAATAAATAAATAACATATTGTATTTTTCAAAATAGCTAGAAAAGAGGATTTGAAATGTTCCCAACATATAGAAATAATACATGTTTGAAGTGACAGATATTCAAATACCATGACTTGATTATACCATATTATGTGCATGGCACAAAATATCACATATACCCCATAAATATGTACAAATATCACATATTAATAAAAAAAATTTTTAAAAATCAACAAACCAGGGCTGGGCACAGTGGCTCACACCTGTAATCCCAGCACTTTAGGAGGCCGAGGCGGGTGGATCACCTGAGGTCAGAAGTTCAAGACCAGCCTGGTCAACATGGTGAAACCCCATCTCTACTAAATATACAAAAAATTAGCCGGGCGTGGTGGCAGGCACCAGTAATCCCAGCTACTCAGGAGGCTGAGGCAGGAGAATCGCTTGACCCTGAGAGGTGGAGGTTGTAGTGAGCCAAGATCATGCCATTGTGTTCCAGCCTGGGCAATAAGAGTGAAACTTCATCTTAAAAAAAAAAAAAAAATCAACAAGCCAGACACAGTTGCTCACGCCTGTAAATGCTAGAACTTTGGGAGGCTGGGCAGGCAGATCACCTGAGGTCAGGAGTTCGAGACCAGCCTGCTCAACATGATGAAAGTCCATCTCTACTAAAAATACAAAAAATTAGCCGGGCATGGTGGCGGGTGCCTGTAGTCCCAGCTACTTGGGAGGCTGAGGCAGCAGAATCACTTGGCCCCTGGGAGGTGGAGGTTGCAGTGAGCTGAGAGTGCGCCATTGCACTCCAGCTGGGGTGACAGAGTGAGACTCTGTCTCAAAAATAAAAAATAAATAAATAAAAATCAACAAAAGAAAAAGTTTCGGCCGGGCGCGGTGGCTCAAGCCTGTAATCCCAGCACTTTGGGAGGCCGAGACGGGCGAATCACGAGGTCAGGAGATCAAGACCATCCTGGCTAACACGGTGAAACCCCGTCTCTACTAAAAAATACAAAAAACTAGCCGGGCGAGGTGGCAGGCGCCTGTAGTCCCAGCTACTCGGGAGGCTGAGGCAGGAGAATGGCGTAAACTCGGGCGGCGGAGCTTGCAGTGAGCTGAGATCCGGCCACTGAACTCCTGCTTGGGCGACAGAGCGAGACTCCGTCTCAAAAAAAAAAAAAAAAAAAAAAAAAAAAAGTTTCATAGGGCAGGATCCAGAAGAGACAATGTGTGGGATTCCAATTGTCCTTTCCCAGTGAAATCATACAGAAAACACTTAATGCTTGCAGCAAGGATGAGTGACAACATACACTAAATCACCCAGGCGAGCTCACCTGAGCCTCGGTGTTCAGAGTTTTTTGTTTGTTTGTTTTTGTTTTTTTCTTTTGAGACGGAGTCTCGCTCTGTCACCCAGGCTGGAGTGCAGTGGCACGATCTCTGCTCACTGCAAGCTCCGCCCCCCCAGTTCACACCATTCTCCTGCCTCAGCCTCCCGGGTAGCTGGGACTACAGGCGCCTGACACCATGTCCGGGTAATTCTTTTTTGTATTTTTAGTAGAGACGGGGTTTCACCGTGTTAGCCAGGATGGTCTCAATCTCCTGACCTCATGATCCACCCGTCTCAGCCTCCCAAAATGCTGGGATTACAGGTGTGAGCCACCACTCCTGGCTGGTGTTCAGAGTTTTTACTGGGAGTTGGTCAAGTAGATGTGGCTGACTGCCTGTGTGGTTGACCCAGTTTTTACTCTCTGTGGAGGTACAGCAATAATACATGGTGCAAAGCCCTCACCATAAATCACAGAGTTATTGTAGACTCTTCCAGTGTCCCACTGCCCCCTGGAGAATGAATGAATGAATGAATGAATGAATGAATGGGACTCTGCATCCATCACCTCACCTGCAGCCATGACTCACCTGTGTCCCCTGACAGTCCCCTCCTAGCACTGCCCACGCCTGAGGCTGGCCAGGGTGGCTCCTTCCTGGTTTGGGGCTGGCCTCATGCCCTCTGCCCTGCTGCTTCCCCTGTGAAAGCAGAAGTCAGGAGAGGATCTTTCAGGACATTGCGGTTCCCGAGGTTCCTCCTCTGCGGATGGTCACTGTCCCTCTGCCGGGCTTCCTGCTCGAGGAGTTTCCTTCCCCGCCAGGCCGGCCCAGAAGCCCGATGGTCCCGGGACAGGCCCAGCCCCAGAGCCCAGAGATGCTGCTGCTGCCCCTGCTGCTGCCTGTGCTGGGGGCGGGTGAGTGGGTCGGTGGTTGGGGGTCCCATGCAGGGACTGGGGCCACCACTGAACCTCTGCATCTCCCCAGGGTCCCTGAACAAGGATCGCAGTTACAGTCTTCAAGTGCAGAGGCTGGTGACGGTGCAGGAGGGCCTGTGCATCATGGTGCCTTGCAACCTCTCCTACCCCTGGGATGGCTGGAACGAGTCTACTGCTGCTTATGGCTACTGGTTCAAAGAAGGGACCAACACATATACAGGTGCTCCTGTGGCCACAAACCACCAGAGTCGAGAGGTGGAAATGAGCGCCCGGGGCCGATTCCAGCTCACTGGGGATCCCGGCAAGGGGAGCTGCTCCTTGGTGATCAGAGACGCGCAGAGGGAGGATGAGGCACGGTACTTCTTTCGGGTGGAGAGAGGAATGTATGTGAGATATAATTTCATGAACAATGGGTTCCTTCTAAAAGTAACAGGTATGGAATGGGATGGGAACCGCTGCCTGTCACACTAGAGGGCAGGACACCTGGGACGCGGCTATAATGGGCATGAGCCAGACCCAGGGTTCCGAGGAACCCCTGCCGCAAGTATAGAACACCTCACCGCCTGATCCGCTGTCCCAAGCCCTGACTCAGAAGGCCTGATGTCTTCATCCCTGAGACTCTGCGAGCCCCGGCAGCGGTGACGAGCTCAAATCTGTCAGATGGTATCTAACTAGCGCTCTGACACGACAAGATACACAGCCCCTATCATTTCTTCCTGACGGGACTGCCTCTCACCTCTACACAAGGAACAAACCAACGAGCCTCCCACTTCTCAGTGCTCAGTCACGCCCAGCCGCACCAGGACCACGACACCAACCTCACTGCCACGTGGATTCTCCAGAAAGGGTGTGAGCGCACAGAGACGATCCGACTCACGCGTGAACCTAGTGAGGTCGGCCTGGGAACGCCTGGGCGTGCAGAACAGACCCGGTGAGGTGGGAGGGGGCGGAGTCCAGGGGGCAGTGGAGCGGCTGCCAGCTCCAGCGAGGCGTCCCAGGGAGAAGAAGGCCGTCAGGTCCCAGGATGCGCTCAGCCCTGAGGGGAATGGACATGCGCAGTGCTGGTCCTCTGGTCCACACGCGTTAGCCCGGCTCATGGTTGTCACTTGTCTTCTGGGATGTTCCACTTTTCTTTTCCTGGGAGGGGAGTTTTTTCCAGTGGGAGGAACAAACTGCACTCCTGAAGGCCCAGCTACAATGTTGTTGCAGACGCCCCAGGACCTTGTTATCAGCATTTCGCGGGACAAACGGTCAGGTACTGAGGGCCGTGGCTGGGGCTGGGCCAGTCCTTTTAGGAGATGAAAAATTTTCATTGAAGGTGAGGGGATGCTTCCTCCCCTGTGAGCCTCTCTCTCTTCTCTCTCTTCTCTCCTCTCTCTCGTCTCTCTCTCTCTCTTTCGGTTCAGGCCTGAAACCCAGGAAAATCTCACCATCTGAAGCCCAGAAGGCCAGTTCCTGGCGGCCCTCTGTGCTGCTGACAGCCAGCCCCCGTCCACGCTGGAGCCCTGGTGGCCTGCAGGACAGAGTCCTTCCTTGTCCCACCCCTGGGCCCAGAACCCTGGGGCTGGAGCTTGCCCGGAGGAAGGGGCGGGGTCAAGGGCGCTACACCTGCCGAGCGGAGAACAGGCTTGGCTCCCAGCAGCGAGCCCTGGACCTCTCTGTGCAGTGTGAGTGTGCCCAGCAGGGGCCTGGGGTCCATCGGGAGGGCAGAACGGGTGGGGATGCAGGGGCTGGGCTCAGGGTCCCAGAGCTGAGGGGATCTGGAGCCCCAGGCCTCGGGGACTGACCTTACCTGTGTAGACCCTCATGCAGTTTGTGTCTGGGACTCAGTGGGTGATTCTGCACTGCCCTTCTATCCCACCCACTTCCCCCACCTCAGTCTCCAGGACGCTTCCCTTTACCCAGGGGGAAGCCCCTGGCCCGTCTAGAGCCGGTCCCCTCTCTCCATTTCAGATCCTCCAGAGAACCTGAGAGTGATGGTTTCCCAAGCAAACAGGACAGGTACGAAAGGAGACAGAGGAGCCAGGGCCTCTTGGTGCTGAATTGGGGGCCCAGGAATCTGGAGGGTCCCGGAGCCCTGACCTGCACATGGATTCTGCTCCTTCCTTCCCTAGTCCTGGAAAACCTCGGGAACGGCACGTCCCTCCCGGTCCTGGAGGGCCAAAGCCTGCGCCTGGTCTGTGTCACCCACAGCAGCCCCCCAGCCAGGCTGAGCTGGACCCAGGGGGGACAGACCGTGGGCTCCTCCCAGCCCTCAGACCCCGGGGTCCTGGAATTGCCTCGGGTTCAAGTGGAGCAAGAAGGAGAGTTCACCTGCCACGCTCAGCACCCGTTGGGCTCCCAGCACGTCTCTCTCAGCCTCTCCGTGCACTGCGAGTGGGGAAAGGGGGGCACCTGGGTCCCAGGAAGGGGCCCCTGCTGAGTCCTGTCCTCCCTCCCCACAGACCCCCCACAGCTGCTGGGCCCCTCCTGCTCCTGGGAGGCTGAGGGTCTGCACTGCAGCTGCTCCTCCCAAGCCAGCCCGGCCCCGGCTCTGAGCTGGTGGATTGGTGGGGAGCTGTTGGAGGGGAACAGCAGCCAGGGCTTCTTCGAGGTCACCCCCAGCTCAGCCAGGCCCTGGGTCAACAGCTCCCTCAAGCCTCCAAGTGGGGGCTTGGCTCCAACCTCAGGCTCCGCTTGGAGGCCCAGAACGTCCATGGGACCCAGAACTCTCGTTTCCTGCTGGACAGTCAGGGTGTAGGGTAGGGAGGCCTGGGTTCTCCAGGTCCCACAGCCAAAGGTGTAGGAAGGGCCTGGAGAACCCAGATTGAAGTTGCAATAAGAAAGGAAGGACTCAGGACTGTAGTTTAGCAGGTGAACGGGCCTCATCCCACTTTTCCAGGCAAATCAGGGCCCGTGACGGGGCTGGTTGTGGTGGCTGTCGGGGAGATGGCTACGAAGATCCTGCTTCTCTGCCTCTGCCTCATCCTCCTCAGGTAAGCCCTGCCCCAGGGTCCAAGGGGAGGGGTGGAGAGGGCAGAGGATACACCGCTCAATCCCAGATCTTAATCCTGGGGGTGCTTGGACAGTTTAAGACGCCTGCGGCCAGGCAGAGGCTGAGTTGATTGTGATGATTCCACACGGGCCAATGTTGTCAGTCCCCAACTCTGGACCAATTTCCAGGCTGGGGAGGTTCCTGCTCTCATCGGGGAGGTCCTGGGGGCTACGCCTGCTCTCTCTGCCTCAGTCCCCTCCAGCCCCTTAGCAGGGCACAGCGAGGTGAGTCTGCTGTCTTCTGAGCCCCAGTGCGGCCACACTCACAGGCCCTGGTCTCTTCATCCAGAGTGAGGTCCTGCAGGAGGAAGGCAGCAAGGGCAGCACTGGGCATGCAGGCTGCAGACACTGTCACAGACTAATCTCCAGGTGAGTGTCGTGGGCCTCTTCCCTTCCAACATCCTGCTGGACACCTCCCCCTCGATGGCCCCAAGGATTGCTCCACTCAACGTGGCCATAACTGACTTGTCACCTCCCTTTCCAAGCCCACTTCTCCTGTTGAGAGCCCCATCCCTCTGATGACGTGGTAGCCCCATCTCTAATGTCAGAACCCAGGTGTGGGTGTCCACCTTGACCTCCCTCCCTCCTCTAGATCCCATAAATCACTAGCTCTTGTCCCTCCTCCTAAGTACAGGTCACCTTGGAGCCCTTTTCTCCATCCTGGCCCCAGTCATGCCTGGGCCTCACCTCTTCCCTGGTCACTGAACCCTCCTCATCTCTTGCCTCCATCTCTCCCAAAACAGACTCCAGACTGCTTCCAGGTGCCTCCTCATCCAGTTCCTCCACTGTCTGAGCGGCTGTGTTTCCCCTGCAGGCCTTGCATGGTCTGTCCTCTGCTGGGCTCTCCTGATCTCTCCTCTCCCTGCGTCACCCAACATCTCCCCAAACCCTCTGGGCCAAAGACTCTGTGGCTCTGACACTTGGCATATGTAGTTTCTTCTCCTGAAACGCCCTTCCCTCCCACTCCTGCCAAACTATGTCCAGATCCTCCTTCAGGTTCCCTTTTTTTTTTTTTTTTTTTGGAGACACAGTCTCACTTTGTCACCCAGGCTGGAGTGCAGTGGCGTGATCTCAGCTCACTGTAGCCTCCCAGGTTCAAGCGATTCTCCTGCCTCAGCCTCCTGAGTAGCTGGGATTACAGGCACCTGCCACCATGTCCGGCTAATTTTTGTATTTTTAGTAGAGATGGGGTTTCACCATGTTGGCCAGGTTGGTCTCAAACTCCTAGCCTCAAGTGATCCACCCTCCTCAGCCTCCCAAACTGCTGGGATTACAGGCATGAGCCACCACACTGAACTGTGTGCAGACAGACAGGTGTCACGTAAGGACCTTTCTGCCAATAATGGACGGCAGATATGACAGTGGTTTCATAATATTTTTTTTTTTTTTTTTTTCTGAGATGGAGTCTTGCACGGTCGCCTGGGCTGGTATGCAATGCAATGGTGCAATCTCAGCTCACTGCAACCTCCACTTCCTAGGTTTAGGCGATTCTCCTGCCTCAACCTCCCAAGTAGCTGGGATTACAGGCAGCCACCACCACGTCCAGCTAATTTTTGTGTTTTTAGTAGAGATGGGGTTTCACTATGTTGGCCAGGCTGGTCTCGAACTCCTGACCTCACGATCCACCCACCTCAGCCTCCCAAAGTGCTGGGATTACAGGTGTGAGCCACCGCACCCGGCCAGTGTTATAAGATTCTAATGCAGCAGAAAGATTCCTATCTCCTAGAGAAGTGGTAACATCATTACACTGTAGTCCAGTGCAACACATACTTGTTGATGGTGATGCTGATGTCAGCAAACCTACTGCATGGGCAGTCCCATAAAAGTGTAAGACATACAATTTTGTATCGTATATAATATTACACTTAATAATGAATGATGATGTTACTGGTTAATGTATTCACTATGGTATACTTTTTGTTGTTATTTTAGTGTAGTCCTTCCACTCAGTGAAGGAAAAGTTAACTGTGAAACAGCCTCAGGCAGGTCCTTCAGGAGGGATTCAAGAAGAAGACATGTGGCCGGGCGCCTTGGCTCACGCCTGTAATCCCAGCACTCTGGGAAGCAGAGTCGAGTGGATCACCTGAGGTCAGCAGTTTGAGACCAGCCTGGCCAACATGGTGAAATCCCATCTCTACTAAAAAAAATACAAAAATTAGCTGGGCGTGGTGGCACACACCTGTAATCCCAGCTACTCGGGAGGCTGAGGCAAAAGAATCGCTTGAACCCAAGAGGCAGCGGTTGCAGTGAGCTGAGATCATGCCACTGGACTCTGGCCTGGGCAACAAGAGCAAAACTCCGTCTAAAACAAACAAACAAAAACAAAACAACAACAAAAAAATCCTTATCCTATCCTAGGAGATGACAGCTCCATGTGTGTTACTGAGCCTGAAGACCTTCCAGTGGGACAAGATGTGGACGTGGAAGACAGTGATACTGATGATCCTGACCCTGTGCAGGTCTAGGCTAATGTGTGAATTTTGCCTCTTAGTTATTAAAACAAAAGCTTAAAAATTAAATCAATTAAGAATAGAGAAAAGGATATGAAGGTATAAAGAAAATGTTCTTGTACAGCTGTACAATGTGTGTGCTTCCAGCTAAGTGTTATTACAAGAGCATAAAAAACTTAAAATAATACGTTTACAAAGTAAACATGTTACAGTAAGCTAATATTAATTTACTATTTGTTGTCGTCGTCGTTTTGAGACAGAGTCTCGCTCTGTTGCCCAGGCTGGAGTGCAGTGGCATGATCTTGGCTCACTGGAATCTCCACTTTCCAGGCTCAAGCTATTCTTGTGCCTCAGCCTCCCAAGTAGCTGGAATTACAGGCGTGTGCAACCATGCCTGGCTAAGTTTTTAAGAATATTGTTGGCCGGGCGCAGTGGCTCACACCTGTAATCCCAGCACTTTGGGAGGCCGAGGTGGGTGGATCACAAGGTCAGGAGATTGAGACCATCCTGGCTAACACAGTGAAACCCCGTCTCTACTAAAAAAATGCAAAAAAAAAAAAATAAACCGGCCGTGGTGACAGGTGCCTGTAGTCCCAGCTACTCAGGAGGCTGAGGCAGGAGAATGGCGTGAACCCAGGAGGCGGAGCTTGCAGTGAGCAGAGATCGCGCCCTTGCACTCCAGCCTGGGTGACAGAGCGAGACTCCATCTCAAAAAAAAAAAAAAAGAATGTTGTTAGTAGTGATGGGCTTTCTCCATGTTGGCCAGGCTGGTCTTGAACTCCTGGCCTCAAGTGATCTGCCTGCCTCTGCCTCCCAAAGTGCTGGGATTACAGGTGTGAGCCACCGCAGCCAGGCTACTATTGAAGAAATGAAAATATTTTTTATGTATTTGCTGTAGTCTAAGTGCATAGTGTTTATAAAGTCTACAGCAGTGTGTAGTAATGTTCAAGGCCTTCACATTCACTCATTACAACTCAGACTCACCCAGAGCGACTTCCAGTTCTGTTTTTGTTGTTGTTGTTGTTGTTTTTTGAGACGGAGTCTCCCTCTGTCACACCTTTCTCTGGGCAAGGTGAATCCTTTACCTACAGTAACCTTTCTTTCCTGGGCTTCTAGCTTAATTTCACAATTGTGTTTGAGTAGATCTTCCGAGGTCCCTGAGGTCAGTCCAGGTCCGAGCAAATCCCCGTCTTTCTCATACCTCCTCCTTCCTGGGCATCCACTCATAATTTGCAATTAGATAGTAACTTGATTGACTAGAGCTTTAATGTCTGCTTCTCCTTCCACACTGCAAGCTGCCTGAGGTCAGGGATGGTGTCTCCCTAGTTTCCCCGGGAATATCCAGGGGCTGGCACAGGGGAGCTGTTCCATAAGGGCAGCAGGCACTGGAGGCAGAGACCTGGACGTGAATCCTGATCTGATCACTGCTTAGATGTGTGGGTTTGGGGTACTTACTCAGCCTCCATTTCTCCATCTGATCATGGGGACCACAGTGCCTCCCCAGTGGATTGTGGTGAGGATTTTTTGAGTCTGGATTTTATGAGCCTGGCAGTGAATTACCAAGAGCCAGATGTTATTATTCTCAAATATTTGCTGAATGAGTGAAAGAACGAGGGCCCAGCCAGCGTCTGTGGAATGAGTAGGTGAAACAGGAAATGCTCAGCTTCCAGGTCCTCTTGTGCATCCTCCTTGCTCTTGCTTAGCCCCCATGATCCTAATTTGACCCCCTTTCTCCCCTGCATTCAGGGTCAGCACCATGAATGCTCGGCAGGCACCTCCCAAGACCACCTGCCCCCAGGTGCAGCCACCCCCACCCCAGGGCAGGGGGAAGAGCGGGAGCCCCACTATGCCTCCCTCAGCTTCCAGGGCCTGAGGCTCCGGGAGCCTGAGGACCAGGAGGCCCCCAGCAGCACCGAGTACTCAGCGATCAAGATCCACAAGAGGCGGCCCCCGAAGGGCTCGGGCTTTGGTTGGAGAGGGAGACGTCAGGGATGGTTCCGAGGTGAAGAGTTCTCCATGGAAACAGGACACCAGCAAGTGTGTGGGAGTCGTGCTGGTGTGACAGCCAGAACTGGACTCAGATTTCAGCCTCATCCTGAGACTAATAGTTTGAGCAAGTTACTTTACTCCTCACTTTCCTCCTCTGTGCGGTGGACACAGTCAGCCTAACTCACAGGGTTCTTGTGAGGCATAAGGAAGTAATTAACATAAAGCATCCATCAGAGGCGAGTCTCATCTGAGTCACGCCTCTTCCCAGGGCAGCCCATGATGTGGGCTGACCACCCTGGTCCAAACTGAGACGCTTCTGCAGGGCAGGTCCAGCTTCAGAGCTCCCTGAAGCCTCGGCTGGGGCTGTCCTTGGACCGCATGGTAGCTTGATTGATTCTCTGTCACTCCCGCTCCCCCCACTCCCACTATGGATCCCGGGGCAGCCTACACATCCCTGCAGGCTGCTCTCTGCCTCAGAGCCCGCTTCCTGGGACCTCAACCTCCGTATTTTACCAGACACAGATAATCATCCATTATTTATCTGAAATAAATTATAAATGTGTGAATCACATTACCTCTATCACTAATTATATTTCCCTGATGATTTTGTCCCCTTAAGCAGTGTCCTTTTTTTTTTTTTTTTTTGAGAGAGTTTTACTCTGTTGCCCAGGCTGGAGTGGAGTGGCGCAATCTTGGCTCACTGCAACCTCCGTCTCCCGGGTTCAAGCGATACTCATGTCTCAGCCTCCTGAGTAGCTGGGATTATAGGCGCATGCCACCATGCCTGGCTAATTTTTGTATTTTTGGTAGAGACGCGGTTTCACCATGTCGGCCAGGCTGGTCTCGAACTCCCGACTTCAGGTGATCTGCCAGCCTCAGCCTCCCAAAGTGATCGGGTTACATGCGTAAGCCACCGTGCCCAGTCAGCTGTGTCTTCTTTTTGCAGGATTTGCTTATCAAATTCCTTGCAGCTGCAGTCTGCATTCCACTCCCATTCTAATATGGTGTTTGCGGTGGTCACATCCAACTTCTTTCCTCCTCCTTCCACGGAACATGCATCAGGGAGGAACCACAGGCACCACACGCAAGATGAGCCAGTTCCCTGGACGGCCTGCCAAGGCGTTAACCGCGCTGCTGTGGGCTCTGCTGAGGCGCATTACTGCATCTTTCACACAGAACTTGCTTTCCACGCGTCACTTAGGTGTGAGGATGTGTCCTGAGAAATGCATGGTCAGGCGATTCTGTTATGTGAGCATCCTCGAATGTGCTTACGCAGTCGTAATCGTACAGCCTGCCACACGCCGAGGCCGTATGGTATAGCCCATTGCTCCCAGGCTATTCACCTGCACAGCACGTTCCTGAACTAAAAGCTGTAGGCAGTTATAACACAATGAATAGGTTAGTCAAAAATGGAGGTTTAGTAAAAATACGGCATAATAGGCCAGGCGTGGTGGCTCACGCCTATAATGGTGAAACCCAGTCTCTACTAAAAATACAAAAATCAGCCGGGCATGGTGGCAGGCGCCTATAGTTCCAGTACTCAGGAGGCTGAGGCAGAAGAATCACTTGAACCGGGAGGTGGAGGTTGCAATGAGCTGAGACTGAGCCACTGCATTCTAGCCTGGGCAACAGAGTGAGACTCCGTGTCAAAAAAAAAAAAAAAAAAAAAGAAGGCATAATAGATAAAAATGGGTCAGGTGCAGTGGCACACGCCTGTAATCATAGCACTTTGGGAGGGTGGATCACTTGAGGTCAGGAGTTCAAGACCAGCCTGGCCAACATGGCAAAACCCCTGTTCCGTTTCTACCAAAAATACAAAAATACAAAAATTAGCCAGGCATGGTGGAAAGTAGCCCCAGCTATTCAGGAGGTTGAGGCGGGAGAATCGCTTGAACCTGGGAGGCGGAGGTTACAGGGAGCCGAGATCGCACCACTGCACTCCAGCCTCAGTGACAGAGCGAGACTGTCTCAAAAACTAAAACAAAAATACACCACCACCACCAATGTCTGATTAAATCTAAGCCAGGGTTCCATTTTGGGGCAAGGGGCAGGGTGTGGGGGACAGAGAATGGGTTCCAGCCACTGTCAGCTGCATGTCCTGGTGGCACCCGAGCCATTCCCGTCCCCTGTGCTGGGAGATCATCATCTAATCCTGACAACGCCCTCCTCTCAGAGCTCGGGGGATGAGCTGCCAAAACCCACAAGGGTTCAGAACCTGGGCTCTGGAGACAGAAGGCCCTGGGCTCAGAGATGTGGGGCCGCTGCCCGGGCCTTCCCTGGGCCTGGACCTGGGCTCCTTCCATTGTCTGAGCAGGGTCAGGCTGGGCTGGCTGTGCTGGCTCAAGAGATGAGGAAGGAGGACACAGGGGCTGCCAGGACCTTGAGGCACTGGACTGGGCACTGCCCCAGCGGGCAGAGGATGGAGACCGGTGTTGATATTGTGACACTGACCGTCTGCTCACCTGATTGGGTGCTGAAGTGCAGCTGACGCCCCTAATCTTTTATAGACTTGTGAAAGGAAAAAAATAAAAGTCAAGCTGGGAACAGCTTAGGGCAAACCCACCTCCCATTCTATTCAGAGCCACCCCTCTGCTCACTGAGACAGATGCACGTCTGATCGCCTCCGTTTGGAAAGGCTAATCAGAAACACCAGAGAACGCACCTGTTCATCTCTCACCCATCTGTGACCTGGAAGCCCCCTCCCCACTCCGAGTCTTCCTGCCTTCGCTTCAAGTTGTCCTGCCTTTCCAAACGGAACCCAAGTACTTCTTACACATAGTGACTCGTGTCTCAAGTCTCCCTAAAACGTATAAAACTAAGCTGTGCCCCAACCACCTTGGCCACGTCATCAGGACCTCCTGAGGCTGTGTCGCGGCCCATGTCCTCAACCTTGGCAAAACAAAGTTTCCAAATTAACTGGACCTGTCTCACATTTTCAGGGTTCACGGATTCATGTGCAACAAGGGGTCTAAGCAGGACAGGTTTGGGGGGGCGGTTTTTCTGTTGTTAGCGGATGTCCCCTTCTGGAAAGGGGCGCACACACCCGCCTTCAGCCAGGAGATGGTAAGCGGTTCCCTGATCCCACCTGCTTCTCCTGAGTAGGGTTTATCAGTACAGGAGAGTCAGGGCATCTGAGAGCACTTCCTTCCTTACCTGGCCTCGGATTCTCCACACTCCAAAGTATGATGCATGATCTGAGCTACTCAAGACAAAATTTAGAGAAGCCGGTTTAGCTTCTCTCTTCTTTCTTTCTTTTTTTTGAGACAGGGTCTTACTCTGTTGCCCAGGCTAGAGTGCAGTGGTGCAATCATGGCTCACTGCAGCCTCGACCTGCTGGGCTCAAGTAATCCTCCTGCTTCAGCCTCCCAAGTAGCTGAGACGACAGGAGTCCACTACCACGCCTAGCTGGTTTTTGTAATTTTTGTAGAGATGGGTTTCACCCTGTTGCCCAGGCTGGTCTCAAACTCGTGGGCTCAAGTGATCCTCCTGTCTTGGCCTCCCAAAGTGCTGGAATTACAGGCATGAGCCACCGCACCTGGGCCCCAAAAGAACTTCTGCAGACACACTGGTTCCTTAAGCTCTGGTAAAAAATTTATTACCAAAGCACAGAGGTGTCAAGGGTAGCAGGGGTCCCCCCTGGGGGCTGGCCCAACCCCATCCAGCTTTGCTAGGACACTGGCTGAAGGGCAGGCCACCCAGACGGGGAACTTCACATTCACTGGAGGGAAACGGGGGGTCTCCCTGAGGCTAATCAGGACTGATGAGTATCCCGAAACCAGTGGCAGGAATGCACATTCCAGGGCTTGTTCTAGAAGCTTATCTGTGATTAAACAGCAGGCCTTGAGTCACATTGCTTCATTTTTTTTTCTTTCTGTTGCACACTGCAAATGGAAAATTCTAGAAGACAATAAAAATGGCTGTTAGTGTCTCATTCATTCAGGGAACACCCTCTGTCCTTCACTTCGTGCCAGGCACCTTCTAGGTACTGGGGATGTCATCATGACCATACGGGACGAGGAGCCCCTGCTGGGCTTAGGATGCGGAGGAGGGGGGTGGAGACTCCACATTAAACACACGCTTCCCTCCAGAGGGGAGCAAGGGCTGTGTGGAAAACACGCGACGCGATGAGCAGGTGTGTGAGGGGCAGTGAGGATGTCTCATAGAGGATGGAGAGGCCTCGGATCTTGAGAAGCAGCAGGTGCATAAAACCAGGAAGAGGGGAGCCTTCCAGACCTCGGGATGGCAGGTGCAAAGGTTCCGGGGTGGGGTCCAGCTTGGCCTGGTCTAGAATTGGAGGGGAGGGTGTGTGGCTGGCGCATCATACACAGGGGAGGAAGGGAGCTCGGCCTCGGGCCAAGGCAAGGAGGTGCTGTGGAGAAGAGGCGAGATGACTTTCAAGGTGCTCGAAGGTCACCGGGCTCCTTAAATGCCATCTCCTCGTTACGTTCCCAACCAAGGGGCTGAGTGAGTGGCCTCCAGAGAACGCACGGGTGTGAGATGGTGGAGACCCTGCGGGGTTGTCAGGTGTCGGGTTCTAAACGCCTTTTGATAAACAGGACGTCGATAAACAGGACATTTGTTCCATCGATAAACAGGACAAAGCCTCTGCCCTGTGCTATGCCAGAAAAGCAGAGACGATAGAGTCAGACGCAACCCTGCCCTGGAGAAGCTCGATGCCAGCAGAAGACTGTGACAAGTGACCCATGGTTGGTCTCATCCGGGACCGAAGGTTTGGAGGAGGCTGCTGAGGGAGTGAGGGTGTTGGGGAGGACCCCGAGCTGTCCAGCCTGGAAAACTGGGTGCATGGAGGAGGAGCTCTGCATCGAGCTGGAGAGGTGGGGGAAGGAGTGAGACTGGCACAGAAGGTCATGACTTGACTCTCGGCGCCTCTGGTTGAGGCAGAGAGCCTGCTACTCCACCACAGAGAAGAGGGCCCCCACCCCTCACCACTGGCCCACTCTGTGCGCAGGGGCTCTGCGAGTCGCCTGGCTCACACGTGTCAGCTTATGCTTCAGCCTCAGATGTGAGGAAAGGTTGTGGGAATGTAGAAGCACTTGTAGGCCGGGCGCGGTGGCTCATGCCTGTAATCCCAGCACTTTGGGAGGCCAAGGCGGGCGGATCACAAGGTCAGGTGATCGAGACCACGGTGAAACCCCGTCTCTACTAAAAATACAAAAAATTAGCCGGGCGCGGTAGTGGGCGCCTGTAGTCCCAGCTACTCCGGAGGCTGAGGCAGGAGAATGGCGTCAACTCAGGAGGTGAAGCTTGCAGTGAGCGGAGGTCGCGCCACTGCACTCCAGCCTAGGGAACACAGCGAGACTCCGTCTCAAAAAAAAAAAAAAAAAAAAAAAAAAAAGAAGCACCTGTAATCCAAGTGCCAAGAAGAGGTCGCTGCACAGGGAGACAGGCCGCCAAAAGGAGACGCTATTCAAGACTCCCCTGGACCAGGATCTCGCAATCGCGGCACTGGTGACCACTGGGGCCGGGGGATTCTTTGTGGGGGGCGGGTAGAGGTGGAGACCATGCTGCGTGTTGCGGGATGCCAGGCAGCCTCCCAGCCTCCACCGTCCTGCATCCTGATAACCAAGTATCTCCAGACATGGCCAAATGCCCCCAGGGTGGTGCCGAGTTAGACAAAGCGCTGAGCTTTGGCTCCAGCCAACCCTGATGAGAGAAATGTCGACTCCGGGGACAGAGAGGGAGCCTGGAGAAGCCCCTCTTCAGCACACATCCCCGTACCCTTGCCAAAATTTACTGTGAAGTTTGTCTTCGACCTTGCAAACATGCCTGCACATTTACACACAGTGCTGACGGAAGTAAAGCCATCTAGTCCTCACTTCCTCACTGTCAAGTTGACACCTCCATCTACAGACAATGCGCGCCAGCAGCCGGGCTGTGCACACAGGCAGCACTGCTTGTAAAAGAAAAATCTGGGAAACTAAGCAAATGCCCAGCTGCTGGCTGTGAGGAGCGTCCGTCATCCACACGATGGAGGAGTGCGCGCTATGAACAAGACCTGAAGGCATGGAGCAGCTACCTTTTGTGTATGGGGGGCCAAGGGGGCCAGGCCAAAGGAAAGTAGAGACTACAGGTGGCTGGGTGGAAGGACACAGGGAGGCAGGGATGCAAGAAGGGACAGAAGATGGCAAGAGACAGAAAACGTCTTGATGCTATTTTTGAGGCTCTGAATCCTGTTGTGCCTGAAGCTCCCCCTTAGACTTTTCTAGCTACAACAGCCAATCAACCCCACTTTTCTTTTCTTTTCTTTTTTTTTTTTGAGACAGAGTCTCACTCTGTCACCCAGGCTGGAGTGCAGTGGTGCCATCTCGGCTCACTGCAAGCTCCGCCTCCCAGGTTCACACCATTCTCCCGCCTCAGCCTCCGGAGGAGATGGGACTACAGGCGCCCGCCACCTCGCTCGGCTAATTTCTCTTGTATTTTTAGTAGAGTCGGGGTTTCACTGTGTTAGTCGGGATGGTCTCGATCTCCTGACCTCGTGATCCGTCTGCCTCGGCCTCCCAAAGTGTTGGGATTACAGGCATGAGCCACTGTGCCCAGCCTCAACCCCCTTTTCTTAAAGCCAAGTTGAGCTGGGTTTCTGCTACTTGCCATTCCTGGAGGTTGGGAAGTTCAAGGACCCTGTGGAAAACCCTAGCATCTCCCTGGGAAGCTGGGCCCTGATATGAACGTGGGACAGCCTCTGGGAAGTGTCCCCTGGAGCCTGGGGCAGGGCTGGGCCGAGGGCAGGGGTGAGAGGGCTGAAGACTCACAAGCTCTTCCCACCTGGATTCCACCTAGGGCACCATCGGGAGGCCAATGGGGTCATATGGGGACACACGCAGACCCTGCAGCAGAGCTTCTAGGTTGTTCCTCAGCACGGCGTAGGGCGGCTTCTCCTCGTACTTGAGGGCCATCACCACCTTCAGGTAATTCTGCAGGGTCTCTGTGGTCAAGACAACCCCCAGCAAGGGAGAGCCTGAGAGGCGTCCCCCAACCTCGATCCTGGGGGTCTGTGCCCAAGGGTGGGGGGTAGGGGACTGACGGGCACGAGGGTCTCAGCAAAAGTGCCCATTTGCTTGGTGCCTGGCATTGCCAGGGGACTTCCATTTTTTTTTCAGTTTTGGAAAACGTCATACACAGGCACCTGGAGAAGGGCATGAATACCCAAGTATCCATCACTCAGTTTCCACAATGATCACCTCACGGCCAATTGCGTTTCATCAAGACCCCTCCCCTGGCCCGCAGTGTTTCAATGCAGATCCCAGCTAGCAGTGCAGTCTCCCTGCACATAAATATTGAGCATGTGTTTTCAAAGAGGCGGGCCCTGCCTCAGCTCCACCTCCAACCTCTGGTGGACCAGCTTAAACATCCTTGAGGCCCAGGGTTTACAGAGGGAGAACTGGAGGGGAGTGCTTGGCAGCTGAGCCATGATCTGAACCCAGGGATTTAAAGTAATTCAAAAATGAGCCTTAGAGAGCCAGAGGGGACACGCTATCCGTTTCTGTCTGTCCATTTCTGCCTCCAGCTTAGAGAAAAGCATCAAAGCTGTTCAGGAGGGGCACAAAGACAACAGCAGCAACAAACACTCCCACGCCCAAATGAGACAGTGCAAATACCCAGTGACAGGGACGAGTGACAGGGACTGGCTTTATAAGCTATGGTGCGGCCAAACCATGGCCACTGTGCAGCTGTCAATAAAACCTGTGGTGCATCTATAAAGGAAGGGCATGAAGGACGGCCCCAGGGTTAAGGGAAAAAAGCAAGAGGTAGAATGAGATGTATGTAGGGTGAGCCCATTTTTTGTTCATAAAAATGGCTGGGCATGGTGGCTCATGCCTGTAATCCCAGCACTTTGGGAGGCCGAGGTGGTAGATCAGTTGAGGCCAGGGGTTCAAGACCAGCCTGGGCAACACGGTGAAACCCCGTCTCTACTAAAAATACAAAAAACTAGCCAGGTATGGGGACGCACGCCTGTAATCCCAGCTACTTGGGAGGCTGAGGCACGAGAATTGCTTGAACCCGGGAGGCGGAGACTGCAGTGAGCCGAGATCGCACCACCACACTCCAGCCTGGGTGACAGAGCTAGACCCTGTCTTAAACAAAAAAAAAAATTACCCTGTCCTCAAAAAACACTTGTGTGTTCTTGTTTTGTTGTTGTTCACAGGCACTTGTGAATGTTTTGACAATTTTTGTCTTTCTACAATGGGTACATATTACAAATGCAATTTGGAAAACTAAAAAAAAGGAAGAGGTATAAGGAGAGGCCACCCCAAGATGGATCTGAGCCACCAGGTCCCGCCCAGGTCCCTGCCTGTTCCCGCTCCCTTCAGGACGTACCTGAGGGTCTGATCCAATGACCGCAGGGTCCCACAAAGGGCCCCGGCTTATCAGTAAACCTGAAGGGACAGAAGCACATGTGAAAGGTCTTATCAGTAAACCTGAAGGGACAGAAGCACATGTGAAAGGGAAAGGAGAGCAACCTTTTAAAACAGAATGCCTAAGATATATACACAGCCTAAGATATATACACAGCCTAAGATATATACACAGTCCCCTCTGCCATCCAGGGAAGTTAAGTTCTTAAAGCCACTGTGAACACTGAATCAACCAACCCGCTACCATTGCTCCCAGGGGAAACAGCAGTGGCCTCCTGCAAGCCTCTGGCCATATCATTTTCCCCAATCAATACACCTTGTTTTATGTATGTTTCTGTTGAAAGACATCTTATGTAATAAGCATTGTTGATTCATTAGCACTGAACTCTATTTTAACCTGGGATCTTTAAGATGGAGAGGATTCCTTCGACGATGAGGAAAGATCCAAGATGAAAATAAAGATTTTATTACTTACAGGTCCTGGGGGCACACGACACACCCAAAGGTGACCTCCCCCCGTCCCACGCACACACACACACACACAGACACACACACACAGAGGTAAGGGAGTTCGTGGTTGCATGAGGGGCCAATGGGTGGTATCCAAACATTTTGAGGGGATTTTAACTGGTGGGTTCACAGCAAGTAGGCTCGAGTTCCTGGAGGTCACGCTGTGCCTGAGAGGGGGTCACTGTGGCATCTGCACAGTTCAGTGGGATGTGGTCAGCGAGGCCGTCAAGTAGGCTGTCTGTGGCTGACCCATAGGGAGGGAAGTGTTCCCCCGGAGGCGGCTGCATAAGGGAAATATCTGGGTCAACCACACGGAGGAACTGGGAGGAGGTGGAAAACTGGAAACTGTGCTGAGGGGGACCGAGCCCTGCTTCTGGCATGAGAAAGTCCAACTTACATTCAAATGAATGCCAAGGCAACCTGAAATGAGAAGAATTCCCCACAAACTCACGGCCAACAGCACCGTAGCTCATGCCTGAACAAAGCTGATACAACACACGAATTATTAACCATCTCGGGCTTCGGGACATCAGACAACACTTCAGCATTATGCTAGGTGGCTGTTTGATTTTTTGTAGAGACGGGTTCTCACTATGTTGCCCAGGCTGCTCTGATCCTCCTGTCTTGGCCTCCCAAAGTGCTGGGATTACAGGTGTGAACCACCACGCCTGGCTGAGGCCATTTTAAATGGCATAATCACTGACAAAAAGCATAAAAACAGGAAAAAATGTAGCATTAACTGAACAGTGAAAAGGACACTGGCGTATATAGTGCAGGCGCTGAAACAGGGAGGCAGAATGCTATCTGGCTCCTCCCTAGGCTGGGAACATGTGTCAGGTGATTAAAATTTTTCTCCACACTATGTGTCCGCAAGTGGCCACGAAAGAACTGCAAGAATTGATTTGGGGTTACAAATACTTTTAGTGAGTAGGAGAATTCACACGTATGGACTCTGAATAATCAGGACTAACTGTATATGTACATACACACACATACACATATATGTATAACACACACACACGTGCATGCACGTGCACCCCTCTTTGGCTGTTCAGGAAAAATCCTGATTTACCCACTGCCTTTGCTTTATCCCCCAGCCCCACCCTCCTGCTCCTCAAATCCCTCTGCCCCATGGATCTGGGCCCAGCTCAGGCCTCACCCCTTTTCCCTGAACCTCAACTCCTCCCTGGCCTCCTGTGCATCCCCACGTGGCCCCAGAGGGTCTCTTTACACCTGTCCCTGACCCTCCCTGCTCACAGCCCACCCTGCCTCCCGTGGCTCCCCAGTACACACTGGCCACCCTCTAGCTCCATCTCTCCACTCCCTTCTCCCATCGCATGTCCCATCCACACCAAAGGACTCCTCGTCCCACCACGCCACACATCCACACACATCTGCCTCTGCACACATCACTCTCGCTGCCTGGGCGGCCTTCCCCACCCTGAGCTCTGGCAGGTGGCTGTTCTCCCTTTGAGATACAGCTCGAGGGTCTGGCCTCCTAGGAAGTCTTCCCCAGACCCCTCCTGGGCCTGTGTGTAGGTCCGCGGATGTCCCACGGCAGCCATTGCAATACAAGCGCAGGAAGGCCCGGTTGTGCCATCGACAGGACGTTACACGCTGCACAGCAACGCCACTGCCACCCCCTGCCGCGGGCTCTCCCTGACCAGCTGGGGAGCCCTGAGAGCGGGTCCAAAGCTGGCTCTCATTTGTGCTTTGCCCAGCAATGGGCCTTAAATGCCAGAAAGCCTCAGGGACTCAAACTGCCTCTCCTCCTTCTTCTACTCGTGCTGCCTGTCGTGAACTATAATGTGCAAAAAGTGAGTATCTGTTGAATGAATGCAAAAAGGCCACGTATACCAGTAAAACGTCCTAGCACAGGGCACCTTAGGGTGCCAGGAAACGAGCATGTAGCAACATCGCCCCCTTGTGGTCCCCTTGGCTACGGTCTGGGCTAAGAGACGCTGGGCTGGGGGTGAGGAGGGGTGTCTGGGGGACAGTGTCAACATCACCAGCTACTCTCCAGGGAGCATTTTCGTGCGCCTGGCCCTGTACGGTTGTGGTCTGGAGCTGGGGCTGCGGAATTACTGTTATCCATGCTGCTATCATTGATACGAGATGATTACTGTGACCTCTTATTCACCCTGCACCATGTTGACGAGTGCAGGCCCTCTCTGTGAACCCGTCACGTTCATCAAGTCTCTTTAGGTGAGGGGATGTGAAAAGGGTGACGTGACTGCTCTTAGGAGTTAGGAAGTGGAGTGGGGAGAAGAAGACTCAACCCAGGGGAGCCTCGGGGACCGGCTTCCCTGACAAGATCGGAGTGCAGAGGCACCGTGGGCTGATTCTAACCTGGGTGTCCAGCACAGCCACTGGCCTCAGGAACCTGGCACTAAATGCATGAGTGGAGAGGGTGCAGAGCTGTGCTGTCCTGTCTGCCTAGGAATCCTGCCTCCCCCTTGCCCACCTGGGAAGCTCTTGTGTTCCCTACAGACCAGGTCAGGCATCTCCCAGGTGAGGGTTTCCAGGAGCCGGCGGCGGGGTCCTGTGCCTCCCCTCTGCTCCCACAATGCCAGGCTACCTCCACCCTCACCTGCAGCTCCTGCTTCCTGTCCGTGTCTCCCCCTAGCCCTGGAACCCGACACTGGGCCTGCGTCTGCCTGACCTCTGTGTCCACAATGAAGCCTGGGCGGGCTCAGCATTCACTCCTTAGTTGTTCTTCATTCCACTATGATTTTTCTTTTGAGACAGGGTCTCACTCTGTTGCCCAGGTTGGAGCGCAGCGACACAATCACAGCTCACTGCAGCCTCCACCTCCTTGGACTCAAGTGATCCTTCCACCTCAGCATCCTGAGTAGCTGGGACTACAGGCATGTGCTACCACACCCGGCTACAGTTTTTGTAGAGATGGGGTCTCATCATGTTGTCCAGGCTGGTCTCAAACTCCTGGGCTCAAGCAATCTGCCCGCCTAAGCTTCCAAAGTGCTGGAAGGCATGAGCCACTGTGCCAGATCCGCCCCTATTTCTTGGGCACCCACAATGTGTGCTCTCTGTTGCATCCAGAGGAGGATGTGTGTGTGTGTCACAGGGAACTGAGGCACTGCTACTGCCCTCAGTCTCCTGTCTTGAGACTGTTGGTTAGAAATGTGAACCCTCCCTCATGGAAGCTGCAGTGTTTTGGGGTCTCCTCGTGAGAGCAGCTCAGCCTTGTCCTGAGCTAATCAGAGTGTGTGAGGGAACATTTCACTACCTTCACTCACACGGGGACTCCAGCGGGCTGCTCATTCTGTGACTCATCGTTTTCACCTGGCTTCATTTCAAAAGACACCTTTGTCTCACTAGTGTGAGCAGAAAACCCCAGCACCATGCGTTAAAGCTAGGGAGTAAGTGTGAAAACAAGCTCCAAGAAAATGGGGCAATGGACTTGTCTAGCAGGTTCTGAGGCTGGCTTCCCATGCAGAGGTTGCCTGCAGAAGTCTGGGGGCTGAAGGCCTCTCTGTCCCTCCCTCTTTCTGCAGGGATGTTGGGGCAAATTAGCACCAAACTGTGTGTGATATCCTTCTTGCCACTGTTTAAAGCTTCATGGTCCTTCAGGGGGCAATTTACCTGTTACCATCGCCGTGAGACCTGCCCCCGACATCAGACCTAAAAGTGTGCTGCACACCCCCACCAACAGTCCCACCAGTGGACACCAAGGACCTGGCCCCAGGATCCCCATCAGTCTGACCTCTGACACACCGTGTGTTTCACCCTTTAGCTCCTGTCTCCCCCAACAGGATGTGAGCTCCCTGAGGGCAGGGATTTTTGTCTTACTCGCTCCTGTATCCGCAGGGCCTAGAACAGAGCCTAGCACATGGCAGGGGTTCAGTATTTGTTGAGTGAAGGTAGGCTGGGCCCAGGCACCACCAGTTCACCTCATAAGCCTCCTCCACTTGGAAAGCAGCGTGTAGGTGACAGGGGCTGTCTGTGGAGTTGAATGGCCTGGGTTTGAGTCCAGGAGCCCCTGCTGTGTAGCTGTGTGGCCTGGGCTGATTACCTAAGCTCTCTGTGCCACAGATCATGAGAGTACACAGCTCAGAGCAGTTGTGAGGATGCAGGGGAAGCACCAGGGGCAGTGCCTGGCACAGACAAGTGTATAATAAATGTTAGCTTTGAACAGTCAGTAGGAGGAAGTCAAAATGACGAGACACATCCCCTCGTCTGAAGGAGGATGAAATTCTGGGCATGGTGCCACATACGCCAATTAAACACGCACCCAAGAACGTCACAGAGTTTTTAAGGACACAGATGCATCTAAACTAACACATTTAGGAGCATTCGGAAGTAGTGAACTAGTTGTATAGCTAAAGTTAAAAACATAACATTGAGTGAAAGAAGGCAAGAAACAGCATGAGGTTTAGAGCATAGTACTATTTATACAAATTAAACACACAGTACCACTATATATAGTTTAAGGACACAGACATGTCTATAGAAAATTGATTTAGAAGCAGCAGTCAGGAGCAGTGAACTCGATCCACATGTAGGGGTAGGGTTAAATTTGAAGAGAGCCAGAGACAGATGAGATGCAGAGCGGAATATCACTTACGCAAATCACACACAGGACCACGGCCAGCACGCGATTTTGAGGGTATAAATACATCTAAGTGAACACGTCAGGAGAACACATGTTAAGTGTGCTTGAGCAGCTGTCCGTGGTTGAGGGAAAGAAGTTGGGAGATACGAAGGGAGTAAAATAAAATTAGAAAGGCTTTACGTGAGGGAAGGACTGGGAAGGAATTCACAGCACACTAAGGACAGGGAAGTATGAGGGACTCAATGCCATTCACTGGAGGGTTCACCCTCTTCCCACTCTATATGATTTCCTAGATAATCTCATCCTCTCCTGGGGCTTCAGTTGACAGCTCCTGAGATATTCCCAGGATCTGAGTCTCCCTCTAGACTTCACACCTGCACTTCAGACGGAGATGGTCAGCTGCCTCCCAGATGACTCGGGCAACAAGTCCGAGACGGAGTCTTGCTCTGTCACCCAGGATGGAATGCAGTGGCGTGATCTTAGCTCACTGCAACCTCCACCTCCCAGGTTCAAGCAATTCTCCTGCCTCAGCCTCCCAAGCAGCTGGGATTACAGGTACCTGCCACTGCGTCAGGCTAATTTTTGTATTTTCAGTAGAGACAGGGTTTCACCATGTTGGCCAGGCTGGTCTCGAACTCCTGACCTCGCGATCCACCCACCTTGGCCTCCCAAAGTGCTGGGATTAAGACGTGAACCACCGTGCCCGGCCTGGGTAACTCTTATTCTTGTCTGAAGTGCACGCCTAGCACGCCAGCTAGGACCAGCTGCCTACTGTCCTTGGTGCTGAACCCACAACCCCCGCGCTTCCATTTTGTGCCCAGCGGCCTACTGTCCCTGGTGCTGAACCCACATCCCTAGCACTTCCCTTTTGTGGACCGCCGCCTGCTGTCCTTGGTGCTGAACACACACCCCAGTGTCTCCCTTTTATGCCCAGCTGCCTACTGTCCCTAGTGCTGAACCCATATCCCTAGAGCTCCCTGTGTCCAGCTGCTCAATGCCCTTAGTGTTCAATCTCACCCCAGAACTTCCCCATATGTTCCGCTGTCCACTGGCTTTGGTGCTGAATGTTTAAACCAGCAATGGTAAGACCTGGTGGTTTACACACAGAGGTGAAGGCACTGATCTGGTGGTGTGAACACTGGATGGGTGGTGCTACCAGTGCTGAGACAGGGCCTGGGCCTGTCCTGCTCAGGTTGCCTGCGTGTTTGTAATGAATGAGTCACGGTGCCCCACACATGATGAGCATTTTCTACGAGCCAGGCCCTGTGCTAAGTGCTGTGTATACCTGACATCCCTGAACCCTTGTGCAGTCCCGTAAGGTGGGCGCTAGTAGGAGACCATCTCATGGAGAAGGATAATGAGGCTTGCAGACGTTAACACCCCACAGTGGTGGGGCCAGAGTCCAAGCCCAGGCAGCGTGGCTCCGGAACCCCTGCCTCGCCTGCTGCGTGGACAGTGCAGCACATGTCTGTGCAGCTCAGAGGACTTGGGCTCTGCTAGATGACACTTCCCCTTCCCGCCTGCCCCCAGCTGGGCTCTGGGCTTCTGCCCACCTGCAGGGGTTCTGCTGACCCCCCGACTCACTTCTGTTTTTGCTTCATGATGTCCTCAGTGTTAGGAAGGCAGTTTGTCCATGGCAGAAACCCGTAGAGCCACTTCAGCATGCAGTAGCCCAGGCTCTGGAGGTCGCTGCGGCGGGAGGGCCCTGGGAAGGGAAGGGTAGAGGTGGCACCTCAGTCTGGATGCTCCATTCACCAGTGCATCCACCCCCTTCCTTCCCCTCTCTCACTGACTCAACCACGCGCTCATGCACTCAGCATTCCAGCCATATGGGCTGCCTCCTCTGCTCATTCACTTTCATGAGTAGGCAGAAGCTGACTCTTATTCTCATTCTGACTTACTTTCACTCAACCATCCCCTCAGCCCCTTTCTTCAGGTCACCCTCATCCACTCTTCTCTCATTCATGCACTCATTCAATCCTCAGCATCCGTGTGCTGGGCTCAGCTGATTTCTGAAAACTCAGACTGGGATCTTATCGGGTCCCAGCCCATGACAGCCTTGTTGGGAGACAGCTATGGTGTGGGACTACCTGAGTGACAAAGGACACAGAACACACGGGAGCCCAGGAGGATGGGTACCAATCCCAGCCTCAGTGGGGAAGGGCTGGGAGACCCAGACGGTGTATTTTCCTTATGCTTCCTGAGCATAAGACAATGCTTAATTTAGACAACGCTTTGTGTAAGCACTCAACAAGCACTACTTGTTGTCCGTGCTGGCCTTCCACCACCCGATGCTGGGGGCAGGGGTACCTTCCCTGCCCTGGAGGAGCTCAGTCTGGTGGGAGGACGTGACAAGCATGTGGACGGCCATGATATAAAGGGATGTGAGAAAGAGGGGCTCAAGAAATCTGCCCCGGGCCCTCTTCCCAGTCTCTACACTTTCCCTGGATGATCCCATCTTCTCCCAGGGCTTCGGCTGATAAACTCCTGAGATACTGCAGAGCCTCTGCCCAGATTTCCCTCCCACATTCCAGACATGGTGGCCAAACCACCTCCTCAAAACAAGGCCCCTCCCTGGAGACTCCTAGGGCAAAAATTTGCCCATCTTTCAAGGTCTACGCGAGATCCTAATCCCACCTCTGGGGAACGCCAGGGCTCCCAGTGGCCCAGCCTCCCACTGTCTTGGTGCTGAACCGCTACCCACCCCCCCACCCCCACAGTGGTTCAGGACGCGTTTGTGGTCCTGATCCCTTCCTGGTCCCCCTAGTGCGCCCTGTGTGGCCACTGCTGTCTCTGGCTGTGAACTCCTAGAGCTGCCCTTGATAGAAAGCATTCTCGGTGGTCCCAAACCTTCCTGGCCTCATACCGCCATCCTTGTTGGCAGGTCCATGGCTAATGAACTCAAGTCCCCCTCATGAGGAGCTCCTTGCTGCCTCCACTAGCCAACGTGTTTGCCTTTGGGCAATAGCGGAAGGCGGAAGCCTAGCTGCCAAGGTTCACCTGTGGACCACAGGAGAAGCCATAAGATTGGAAGGTTGAGGGGCACAACCTGAAAAACAACTTCCACAAAGTGACTTTTTACTTAACAAAAACTAAGCTTGCCAAGGCAAAACGAGTTTGAGCTAAAAGAACCCAAACAGCCATCATATTTCCTCCCAGCCCCTAAAACCCACTGTCAGAATAACAGCTGTACACAGTTTCTTATGCATCATTCTCAGCATTTTTTTTTTTAAATACCAGTAAAATATAGATGGGGAGGGCTCTTGTTTCTCAGGAGGCCTCCACCCCAGACCTGTTGGACACCAGCACTTAACATTTAACAGCGGTTCTGGGCATAACTCTGGGGCAGATGGCCTGGGTTCAAATGCCAGCTCAGCCCGCTGGTGGCGGTACAACCTTGGGCAGCTATACTACTCTCTGCTATGATTTCTCATTTGTAAAATGATAATAGTCCCCACCTCAAAGGGTTCTACAGCGAGGGCTTAACTAAGTTTTAAAAAAGTTAATGCTTTCTGCCTGATACACAAAGTTAACTAAATCTTCTTTCAAAAATATTTATTATTTTGAGATGGGGTTCCCACTCGTTCACCCAGGGTTGGAGTGCAGGTGCGCGATCACGGCTCCACCTGTAGCCTCCTAGGCTCCGGTGATCCTCCCACCTCAGCCTCGAGTAGCTGGGACTAGGCATGCGCCACATGCCCAGCTTATTTTTTGTATTTTTTGCAAAGATGGGGTTTTGCCCGTGTGGCCCAGGCTTGGTTCTTGAAAACCTGGGGTCAGTGATCCTCCTGCCTTGGCCTTCCCAAGCCACTGGGATTACAGGTGTGAGCCCACTCGTCCCCAGGCATGTTCTTCTTTTCAATGGCTGTATCTTATTCCACCAATGGATAGTGGAAACTGTTGGTTTTGTCATGTATAAGACTATACACTTCCCCTGCTCCCTGTTTTCTGTCAGTTTTGTGGTGTTCATTATATATATATATACACACACACACACACATATATACACATACATATTAATATATATATTATTTTTTTTTTTTAAAGTTTTGAGACAGGTTCGCTCGGTACGCAGGTTGGAGTGCAGTGGCACGGATCATGGTTCACTGCAGCCTCAATCTCCTGGGTCAGGTGATCTTTCTACCTCAGCTTCCCGAGTAGCTGGAAACACAGGTGTGTGCCACTACACCTGGATAGGGTTATTATTTTTTATTTTGTAGAGACGAGGTTCCCTATGTTCCCAGGCTTGTCTCGAACTCCGGGCTCAAACGATCCTCCACTCTTTGGCCTCCCAAAGTGCTGGAATTAGAGGCGTGAGACACTGGGCCTGGCCAGGATGGCCATTTTATGTGGCAACTTGACTGGGCCATGGTTCCCAGACATTGGCAAACTATTGAAGTGTCTATGAGGGTGTTGTGAAAGAGACGAACATTGGGGTTTGTAGACTGAGTAAGGCAGATTATTCTCCCTAATGTGGGTGGGTCTCATTCGATCAACTCATGATGTGAACAGAATAAAAAGCTAAGTAACCAGAAGCTCCTCTTCCCTGACTGCTTGAGCTAGAACATTGGTCTTTTCTTGTCTTTGGACTGGAACTGAAACAACCCCTCTTTCTGGGTCTCAAGCCTGCTGGCCTTTAAACTGAAACTCACATCATTGGCTCTCCTAGGTCTCCAGATTGCAAACTGAAGATCTCAGGACTGCTTAGCTTCCATTATCAATGACCAATTCCTTGTAATAAATCTCTACACACACACACACACACACACACAGTTGTTTCTCTGAAGATTCCTAATGCTTAGTTCCAGGATTTTCATCTGGGATTGTCTCCCCCGACTTCTCAGTCCATGCAGTTCAGGTCTGCTTCTGCCGGGGCTGCTGAGCTTTGGGGATTTAAGCCTAATCTGCTGGTGGCGATTTTCTCACCAGGAGGAACAAGTCTGCCTGACAACGAGCAGTGAGAAGCATGAGCCCAGAGACAGGAGAGCTGGCTTCAAATCTTAATTTTGTTCTTAATTCTTAATCATTCAAATTCAAAATCATTCTTAATTTTGTTCAGAGGGAAAAAATAGCATCTTGTTTTAAGTTACATCTCTATGATTACTAAGGAGGTTGAATATCTTTTCTTTTCCTTCCTTTTTTTTTTTTTTTGAGACAGAGTCTCGCTGTGTCGCCCAGGCTAGAGTGCAGTGGTGCGATCTCGGCTCACTGCAACCTTCGCCTGCCGGGTTCACGCCATTCTCCTGCCTCAGCCTCCTGAGTAGCTGGGACTACAGGCGCCCACCACGACGCCTGGCTAATTTTTTGTATTTTTAGTGCAGATGGAGTTTTACTGTGTTAGCCAGGATGGTCTCGATCTCCTGACCTCGTGATCCGCCTGCCTCGGCCTCCCAAAGTGCTGGGATTACAGGCATGACCCACCGCGCCTGGCCATACCTTTTCATATTATTTAGTTGGCCTGTGATTTCGTTTTTTAAGAATTGCTTTTCTTATCCTTTGCCCATTTTCCTAAGTTACTTCTTATTTATTTGAAGGAGCTCTTTATATATGATGGACAACTATCCTTTGTCTGTAATAAAGCACTGTGAAATAAATAGAGGTTTGGAGACAGATGGGAACCTGAGCCCAGAGATCTTCCGGAGTAGGCAGGAGCTGGCTCTTACCTGACTCCGGTCCTCTGGATCCACAAAGATATTTTCAGCTGTCACATTTCCATGAACATACTCATTCTCATGGAGGAACTCCAGGGCATCCAGCTGGGGGAAGAAGCAAGCCAGTGTCTGCACAAGCAGTAAGACTAACACAGCCTCTGGTGCAGACTGGGGCAGGGAGCCCCACTATTAAGGCCTGGGGTCGTCTGGCACTGTGACTGGGGGTTAAACCTGACTAAATCTGGGGCAGCATGAGGAGCCCGCTGTGATAGCACATTGAGCATGCCTCTAATCAGGCTGTCAGGGAGCTCACCAGTTGAGCTAATGCGTGGCTTCTTATATTTCTCTCTTAGCTGATGGCAAACTCAGGAGAGGGAGAAGGGGTTAGTGTCTGTCTGCAAAAATGACTCTGTACCTGTGAATATCAAAAGAGCTCTTCTCACCTGTCCTAGAGAGCAGAAATCAATCTTGTTAAGCAATTTATATCTTGATCTCCAGCTCCAGCTGTCCCACTGAGCTCCAGACTTTTTTTTGGTGTGTGTATATATACATATTTTTGAGATAGGGTCTCACTCCTGTTGCCCAGGCTATAGTGCAGTGGTGCAATCACTGCTCACTGTAGCCTTGATTTCCCAAGCTCAGGTGATCCTCCCACCTCAGCCTCACAAGTAACTGGGACTACAGGTACGCACCACCACACCTGGCTAATTTTTTCTAGTTTTATTAGAGAGGGCATTTTGCCATGCTGCCCAGGCTGGTCTTGAACTCCTGAGCTCAAGTGATCCACCTGCCTCATCCTCCCAAAGTGCTGGGATTACCAGCGTGAGCTTACTGCACCAGGCCAACTCTTCAACTGTGTCTGCTGCCCAAGTATCAGCTACATTCCAATCATATCCCCAACACTCTTTGACCCCAGGGCCAAAGTTCTGCTCGTTCTCCTTCTATAGACTCTCCATCCCCAGGGCCCGGGACCCTCCTCAGCCTTGTCCTCTCCAAAGGGACCCTCACTCAGATTCTTCTCCCCATTCCAGTCCCTCCCCACATGGCCCCTGAGGGCCTTTCTGTACCCAGAGCTGACCCTGCCCTCCCCTAATCCCAGCACTCTTGTGGCTCTCCAGTGCCCTCAAGACAGATCCCAGCCCCTCAGCCTGCTGTGCAAGGCCCTTTGTGATGTGGTCATTGCTGACCTGTCCACACCAACTCCATCTCTCCCCACTGCAGGGCCATAGTGCAGACACTGAACATAAAGACCTTAGGACTCAGCATGTCGCTCCCTTGGTACGTCCATCCCTCCAGCGATGCAAACTGGGCCCTCTTATTCTCCATCACAGCAGGGGCCGCTTCTACTCAGAGCACTCATCATAGTTTGTGCAACTGTTTGATTTACTATTGGCCCCTCCCACTAGACTGTGAGCTCCAAGACACAGAAACCATGTTTGTGCTGCTCCCTGCTCTGCACCCAGCCCTGGGACAGCATCTGGCACCCAGCAAGTGCCTGATGAATATTTAATGAGGATGAATGAATGAATTAATGAACAAATGCCATATGCTCTCTATTCCACATAAGCCTTGCTCCAGCTGTATCCTTGGTCGAACCATCCTCTCATCTATCCTCTGCCTCTTCCACCCAGCACCTCGCTATTTCCACTCATCCTGAGTCTTGGCTTAGAAACACCCTCCACCAGGAAGCCTAATCTAAGCCTTCAGTTTGAGGCTGGGGCTCCTTCCTCCAATGCTCATGGCCCCCCAAGGGCCCTCCACAGGACTGACCCCCCAACATCCCGGCTCTAACCGCCTGCCATGTCAGTGAGCCAACCCATAGGGTGCGGCGGAGGGAGGTGGGGGCCGGATGTGTCAATGACTGAAGAGCCTGCTAAACTAGGATCTGACGCGCCCTCCCTGACGCAGCAGCTCAGCAACTTCTGGGTACGCACCAGCCGGCAGGCCACCTGCAGCACAGACCTCTCTGACAGCACATGCTCTGGGCTGACATCCAGGGCCGACTGAAGGCTCCTCCCCAGGCTGGGTAACACCAAGAACCTGGAAGACACAAGCACCCCAGGAGGTGGGCGATGAACAGGGGAGAGAGAACTGGCTGCCCAGGATGGACTGTGGCGGGGGCTGCAAGGCCCTGGTCCCAGGTGAGATGAAAGGTTCTGACTGGCTGGGCAGCAAACTGGGTCAAAACTATGAGAAGGTAGGAAGAACTGGCCCACAGCTTCGGGGTCCCAGCCATGCCTGGACTCACGACAGGAAGAGGAGGAAAGGGGCCGGTGAGGCAACCAGTGAGTAGAGCAGCTCACCTGTATTTGTCCTGGTGAACACCGAAACCCATGCAGGTAGGGATGGCCAGTTGTGGGGTCGAGTACAGCTTCTTCCACTTGTTGACTGCGGAAAGCAGGGGCTTGAGGTTAGAACACAGCCAGTCCCAAGCCCATGGCAATAAGAGCCAGTTCTCAGAGCAGAAGCACAGAGTGCCCAGACCGCCTCTGAGTCTCCTTGTCGGAGATGACAACATTGTGGGTGGGTGACTGTGGGAAGGGGCTGGTGATGGGGCAGGCATGGGTGACGCATGAACGTCTGTGATCCAGGTCTGTAGGTGATGGGGTGAACATGGTGGTTCTGGAGGAAGCGTATACAAATCTGGAGTGCAGAGACGGGATAATGACAGGGTTACTTCCGAATTCACACACAGAGCTAACAAGATCAACACGTGTCTAATCTAGCCATGACATCACCAGAATGTGCCTCTGCCTGTCTTCCAGATGTCAGCAGGGTGGACCAGAACCAATGGCAGCTGACGCTAGTTTAACAACTGGCTGTCCAGGGAAGTCAGTCCTGATGGGTAGCATTTGCTAATTTCTTTTTCCTTTTTTTTTTTAAGACGAAGTTTCACTATGTTGCCCTGGCTGGAGTGCAACAGCGCAATCTTGGCTTACTGCAACCTCTGCCTCCTGGTTTTAAGCGATTCTTCTGCCTCAGCCTCCTGAGTACCTGGGATTGCAGGCGTCTGCCACCAGACCTGGCTAATCTTATTTATTATTTATTTTTTTGAGATGCAGTCTTGCTCTGTCGCCAGGCTGGAGTGCTGTGGTGTGATCTCGGCTCACAGCAACCTCCACCTCCCAGGTTCAAGCGATTCTCCTGCCTCAGTCTCCGGAGTAGCTGGAATCACAGGCACGTGCCACCACGCCCAACTAATTTTTGTATTTTCAGTAGAGACAGGATTTCACCATGTTGGCCAGGATGGTCTCGATCTCCTGATCTCATGATCTGCCCACTTTGGCCTCCCAAAGTGCTGGGATTACAGGTGTGAGCCACCACGCTCAGCCCTTTTTTTGTATTTTCAGTAGAGATGTTTTGCCATGTTGGCCAGGCTGGTCTTCAACTCCTGACCTTAGGTGATCCACCCACCTCGGCCTCCTGAAGTGTGGGGATTACAGGCGTGAGCCAGCACACCCGGCTGCATTTGCTAATTTCTGCAGTGTAAATACTCCTGCTATGGCCAACTCCAAGCTACCAACATGACATGACTGGAGGTGGGTCGGGGAGACGCACAGCGGTGGCCGCCATGCGGCATTCTCTCCACACAGAGACAACAGTGCACACAACCTCACTGGCAGAGATCACAGGACATGTATGGAAATAATTAGAAAGTGATGAGTGTCTGAGGGTTCATTACCTTTGTTTTGAATATATTTGTAAGATTATCTAATTTATTTATTTTATATATTTTTTGAGACCGAGTATCACTCTATCGCCCAGGCTGGAGTGAAGTGGCATGATCTCAGCTCACTGCAACCTCCACCTCCCAGGTTCGAGTGACTCTCCCGCCTCAGCCTTTCATGTAGCTGGGATTACAGGCACATGCCACCACGTCTGGCTAATTTTTGTATTTTTAGTAGAGATGGGGTTTCACCACGTTGGCCAGGCTGCTCTCGAACTCCTGATCTCAGGTGATCCACCCACCTCAGCCTCCCGAAGTGCTAGGATTATAGGTGTGAGCCAACACGCCCGGTCTATATAATTTAATTGCTAATACTGGCTATATGTAACTACCAGCTTGCCATCTTCCTGAAAATTTAACTTTTTTTTTTTTTTGTTTTGAGACAGGGTCTGGCTCTGTTGCCCAGGCTGGAGTGCGGTGGCACAATCACAGCTCACTGCAACCTCCACCTCCCAAGCTCAAGCAATCCTCCCACCTCAGCCTCTTGAGTAGCTGGAATCACAGGCGCATGCCACTACACCCGGCTAATTTTTATATTTTCAGTAGCGATAAGGTTTTGACATATTGCCCAGGCTGGTCTCAAACCCCTGGGCTCAAGTGATCTGCCCACCTCAGCCTCCCAAAATGCTGGGATTATAGGCGTCAACCCACGCCCAGCCTGAAAATGTAATACTTGGCTTCCAAGAGCTGGTGTGAGCCAGCCACAACACACACTGAGGCCTGAGGGGTGACAGGAGTCAGGTTATGGGCACAGATGGGAGCAAACCTGGGCCTATAATCTAAACCCACCCTTCTCACGCCAGCAGGTAGAAGCCAGGTGCTGTGACCATGCTGGTGCCCCCCTCACTCTCCCCTCCTTGCCCAGTTCCCTGCCAGGTACCTTGCAGAGGCTTAGCGGCCCGCTGGAAGAAGTTCTGCTCATTGAACAAGCGCCCATCCTTGGCATCCTGGTGGGGGACAGGAGAGGCAGAAGGCTGTCACACTGAAGTCTCAGACAAGGGCCCCCAGTTCCCACTGGCAATTTATTACTCCCTCGATGATGAGGTTCCTCATCGAGTCCCCACATCAGAGCCAGATTCCTCAGGTACTACACACAAACACACATCAGAGACTGCGAGCTATCTCCCAGTACCCAGGTTTCTTTTCTAAGAGCCACAGTGTTCCCTAGAATGTGGTGTTCAGTTTAAAAACTACGTTTCCCAGCCTCCTTTGCAGTGAGGAACAACCACATGACCAAGTTCTGGCCAATGAGGATGTGAGCAGAAGAAACGTGGGCAACTTCCAGGTGATGCCCTTAAAGGGCTTTCCTTTCCTCTTCTGTTCCAGTTGGCTGCAATGCAGATGTGATGGTGGAAGCTGAAGCAGCCACTACAGCCCAAGAGATGCAGGTTATGCGTTGAAAATGTTGGTGCAAAAAGACAGAAGGAAACAGGGCCCCTTGTTTATAAAATCATCATATCAGCTCTGGAAAACTGCCCCTGATTTTAAGTGAAAAAGCAATAAAAATATCATCTTGCTTAAGCCACTATTAATATTGGGTATTTGTTAAAAATGACACCAATGGCCAGGTAGGGTGGCTCAAGCCTGTAATCCTGGCACTCTGGGAGGCCAAGGCAGCTGATGGATCACTTGAGGTTAGGAGTTCTAGATCAGCCTCGCCAACATGGTGAAACCCTGCCTCCACTAAAAATACAAAAATTAGCCAGGCGCAGTGGTGCGTGCCTGTAACCCCAGTTACTCGGGAGGCTGAGGCAGGAGAATTGCTTGAACCTGGGAGGTGCAGATTGCAGTGAGCCAAGATTGTACCTTCAGCCTGGGTGACAGAGTGAGACTCTGTCTCAAACAAACAAACAAAAAAAACAACAGCACCACCAAATATTTTAATTAAAACACAACTCGTGCAGCTGGGTTCTTAAGAGTACAGAGTCGGCTGGGCACAGGTGGCTCACCCCTGTAATCCCAGCACTTTCGGAGGTGAAGGTGGGAGGATTACTTGAGCCCAGGAGTTCCAGACCAACCTGGGCAATACAGGGAGATCCCATCTCTATCAAAAAAAAAAAAAAAAAAAAATCAGCTGGACGTGGCGGTGCATGCCTGTGGTCCCAGCTACTTGGGAGGCTGAAGTGGAAGGATCACTTGAACCTAGCAGACCGAGGCTGAGTGAGCCTTGATTGCACTGCTGCACTCCAGCCTGGGCGACAGAGAGAGACTCTGTCTCAAAACAAACAAAAACCCAAAAGAATTAAATGACATGATGCTTGTGACACTCAGCCCAGGGACTGTCACATAATAGGTTCTCAATAAGCAGGTGCTGCTACTGGTCATTAGTGAGCCTAGCTCCCTGCCCCAGCTCCTCTTCTTGTCCTTCCTTTTCCCTTTTTGCATCCTGGAGTCCTCCCCACGATGCCGGCGAAGCCCATAGTGACTGACACGAGCGACATGGGCACAGCCATGTAGGCCCTGAGCCATCTCACGTGGTGTATTCATGCCTGCCCCACTCTCCCAAGGGGGCAGCTCCTTCAGGGCAGCAATTGGGCCTGACCCATCTCTGTAGAAATCCCCAGCACTCAGTTCACAGGAGGCTGCAGGAAAGGCTTGGTGAATGAATGAATAAATGGATGGATGAACACCACTGGGCATTCAGCCCCGACCTTTCGAATGCTTCAGAACAGAGCTGCCTTCCCAGTGGATGGGAGGGTGAATGTCCTCTGGTCAGCCGGGTGCCCTGTGCTCCCCTCCCAGTCCATCCCTCTTCCTGATGGGACTGGGACATGGCACGGCCCCCGCCAGACTGGGAGCTTCTCCAGGGCTGGGCCTGGGGCCAACTCTTCATCCCCGAGTTTTGAGCCTCAGGAAATGCTGATGAGATTAGATGCACGAACAGAGAGCAAGGCTGTATTTCTAGGATGATGAGCATAATTACAGTAGTAATAACAGGAACAGCTCAGGTTGATGGGGTGCGTACTGTGCCAGGCACACCTGAACCACGCAGAGAAGCATTAAATGGGACATGGTAGCTGCCCCGCTGGGAGGATTCAATGAAGCAGTGCTTGTGAAACACAGCCTGGCTCAGGCCATGCCAGGCTCTCAAAGCAGGTGCTACCCATCACTAGTGAGCCCAGCTCTACAGCCCATGCTCTGACCCACTCTCATGGTCTCCCCATCTAGGGCGGAGGGAGGGCAACCCACCCAGCTGTCCCTGGTTTTCTGGGGTGGGAGACAATTTGGATAAACAAAAAGAAAATAAAAGTCACCCGTAACCCCAGCACCCAGGGATGATGGCGGGGTTATGAACCATGACGATGCCCTTCTGTTAGGCACCTCCTCTGTGTGGAAGGCAAGACTCACCCTTGTGGCCACTCTCCCTTTCTCTTTGTTTCCTTTTGGCCCCATCCTCGAGCGCACATGTCCGACAGCTGAAACTCATGCTTGGCCCCTGATGTGTGATTTCACTGAATCCTCAGCATGGGGACCCCATCTGATGGGTTCTCTGTTGGACCCCACACCCAGCAGGTGATACACAGTAGGTGCTCGATATGTGCACACTGCGAGGCCGGTGGTAGGGGGCAGGTGGGCCACACCCTGTGGGTATCAGTGGCTCCATTTCATGGATGAGGAAACTGAGTTCTGAGGGGGATGGGCTTGCCCAGGTCACACAGCCGGGTAGCATCAGAGCCAGACTCGGGTGGATCCAACTGTCGGTTTCTAACACCCCGGGATGATGGACAACTGGGTGCCTGCCCTGCCCACGGATTCATTGCTCCTTGCAGGTGGGGACCCTGGTCCCCAATCGAGTTCTCCCAGCGAGGGGCTCAGAAGTCAAGGATGTGTTTGTGAAAGTCCCTCCCCTCCAAGCTGCCCCCACCTGCAGGGTCACTTACCAGTTTGAGCGAGAACTTTTGCTTCTGGAGTTCTGAGTCACAGGCGAGGGCGGAGGTGGGTGCAGCTATGGGGGAACAAACAAGGGAGCGAGGTTATAACCGCAGGGAAGGTCAGGGTCATCGTCCCCAAACTTCCCAGCAATGAGGAGCGGCTCTGGTGCCCTGGTTCCGACAAGGTCAAGCGCACTCTTGGCTCTCACGACCTGCTGCTTCCTAGTTTTAAATAAGCTTCCTCTCTCTCTTTCTCTCTGTCACTATCCAGCCGTGCAGGAAGGGTTAATGCAGCAGGCTTGAGGTGGCTCTCCTGGCAAGGTCTGGGAGCCTGGATTCTGGCAGGGCTCCCAGAATCCCCTAAGTGAGTGGGGCTCGCTGAGCCTAAACTGCTTGTGCAATCACTGTGGTTTCTGTGCAACGCCTTCTTTCCCCTGGGGAACCTGGAATGCTGATACATGTCAGACAGAGGGGGTCACATGAGCTCCCCAGTAACAGCCCTGGGCACTGAGCCTCTGAGGAGCTTCCTGGTGGACAGTTCCCACGTACTGTCACAGCCTGTGGCTGGGGAATTAGGGGCGTCCTAGTGCAGAGTGACCTCATCCAAGGCCACATCCCAGGGTGACCCAGGTCCAATGATTAAGGTGGACATAAAGGCCCAGCCTCTCCTGGCCCAACACGGACCCACGCTGAAGGACCACTTCTGCTCCAGAGCCCCGCAGGGTCGGCTGGGGCCATCACTGGGCTGCATCACAGTGCCGCCTCCCGCTGTGCCCCGCCTACTTCCTTACCCCTCCCTGGGTTCTGATCCCTGAGGCAGCTCCCCATAAGCACCCTGCCTGCTTGTTCCTCGACAGAGCCTGCTCCAGGAGCCCTTACTGTTCAGTTACAGACCCCACCACGTCTCCAGCCCTGTGCTAAGTGTGGGCTTCACATGCATCGTCCCATCTGACAGACGAGAAGAGGAGAGAGGCCAAGAAACGCCAGGCTGGCCAGGGTTCAAATCCCAGCTCCTCCCTCCACTCTCTGTGTGACTTTGGGCCTCCATTTGCATGTCTGTAAGATCGGAGCAATAAGGCCTACCCGGAGACTGGCTGCAAGGACTCAACAGACAGGCAGGAGTAAGAGCGGCACCAGCGATGTGTGCAGCAAGAGTCTGCGTCCCCCTGCACGCACACTGCTCGGTGAACCCACTCAGCCCAGAGCCCAGCACGGAGCCTGGCGTGTCAGGATTGCTCCACAGGTGACAGCTTTAAAACATCCCCATAACACCAGGGCTCCGCAGCTGGGGAGTGGCAGAGCTGGCTCGACCTGGGTCTCCCTAATCCCAAAGCCCGTGAGCTGAGCTACTGTTGCCCGCGCACCCTGACTCATGCTGGTGTCCCTCCTTCCTCTGCTCTCATCGCTCCCACCCTCCCTTCACCATCGAGGCTGGTATCATCTCAGACACTGGGCTGAAGGACGGGGGGTGACAAAGTAACCAAGAAGCCGTCTTTGCCCTCAAGAAGCTCCAGCTGCAGCAGGGTTGGGACCCAGCTCTACACGTTCAAGGCCAAGGGTGCTCTGAGCCCAAGGGAAGAGAGAGCGACTTATGCAGGACCCACATCTTGGAGAAAGACAGGTCCTTTCCAGCTGTGGGGAGAGCACTGGGGGGGATCATGCTGGAGCAGGCCGTGACATCATGACCAAGCATCCGCCCCTGTCTGGAACCCAGGCACAGGAACAGTACCTGTCTCTCAGAGGCACCATGAGGTCAATGACAATGCATACATGCCTGGCACTCAGAGGCAGGCAGGAAAAGCTGGCAATTTGATATAATTTTCCTGCACTGCTTTGCAGATTATAGAAAGCTTTTCTCTTTAACTTTTCTAACTGGCCCTGCTGCCAACAGCCTGGAAAGCTAGCTGGGCAATTTCCAATGTAGAGGGAGTCAAGGGAGGCCAGAAGGGAAAAAGGGCTTGGCCAAGGGCCCCAACGGAGACGGGCCACAAGCCCAGGGCTCTAGACTCTGTGATCTGGGGTGGCGGATCCGGGTTTCTGCTTGACAGAAACCTGACACATGGAAAAACTCTACATGTGCCAAATGAAGACCTGGGCCTGCCAGGCAGGCAGGTGAGCGCCTCCCCTTGCCAAAGTCAGCCGGTCCTGAACTTAGAGCAGGAGCACTGTTCTGGGACTCATCCTGACCCTAACACCAGGCAGCATGTACACGGCGCTGGCTATTTTCCTGGCATCACTCTACTCATTTCACTCTCCTGACTGCAGCCCTGTGAGGGCAGCAGCATTACCATCTCCCCTTTGCAGATGAGGAAACTGAGGCACAGGGTCACGCTGTCATTTGAAAGGTCAAGCGACAAGTGGCCAGCAGAGGCAGCCCAGCCCACTGCTGAGCTCCAGGGTGCCCCATGCCTTCTACCTCCCGAGGCCCTGCTGGGGCCCCTGACTGACTTCTCCTTTCCGGCCTCCAGAAGGAACCAGCAGAGCCAACACCTAAACTCCGTACCCAGTGATTCTGGACTGCTGGCCTCCAGAGCTGCAGGAGAATGAGCATGTGCTGTGTTAAACCACTCACCGTGGTAACTTGTTACAGCGGCCACAGGAAGCTAACACAAGCCCCACCTTCCATCCGTGAAGGCAGAGGCTGTGGAGGGCAGCACGTGCCTGACCCTGAGCTGCTGCTCATGGACAGCTCTCCCCAGCGTGCCACAGTGAGCAGCTGCAGGGACTCATGTGACTGACGACAGATGGTGGCTCCCCCACACAGCTCCGGGGAGGCCCAGGAGTATGACATTATAATTCAGTACTGGACAGAGAGATAAGGGTTAATCAAGTGCTTAGAGCATGGCGCAGAGTGGGATAAAAGTGTCCACTGCTCGAATAACCGTAACGATTCAGCTTGTTCTTGTTTTATCATTATTGCTTTAAGCTACGGGACATACAACTCCACCACCTCTTCTCGACTGGTGCAAACTGGCAGAAGAAAAGGGCAATTTGCTCTGGGGCGATGCCACCCGATGGTGGTGTGACCCAAATGCAAACTCTGCATCAGCAGGGTCTTCACCAGCCCCGCTCCCCCTGCACAGTGTCTGTGCACACGGTAGGTGCTGCTTAAGGATCCACTGAGCCGCCGGGCACAGTGCTCACGCCTGTAATCCCAGCACTTCGGGAGGCTGAGGCAGGAGGATGGCTTGAGGCCAAGAGTTTGAGATCAGCCTGGCCAACATAGTGAGATCACCTCTACTTTAAAAAATAAATAAATAAAGGGACTGCTGAAGGAATGGATGACTCAGGCAGGTTGGGCGCTGGGGTTTGCTATTTTTATCAAACAACCCGAGTCATAAAAGGCAAAACCGAAACCACACTGGCCCAGAGTAGCCCCTTCCTGTGCTTTCACTGTGGGTTTCCGGGGAGGGCAAGTGTGGTTTCTTCTCTCAGGAGCTCCTGGCCCAGTGTGTTTTCCTCTCCTTCTCCCTCTTCCTTCCCCGCCCTCCTGCCTTCTCCCCGCTCTGCCCTCTCCCCTCAATCTCCTTCTCACGGTTGGTTTTCATCCCTCTCCCTTTCTCCTTGCTCTGTGCTCCTCGGTCCCTCATTCCTTCTCATCCAGATGCCTTCTCACTCTTTCTCCCCAACCTCTCCTTCTGCTTTCTCTCCCGTTCTTGGGAGAAGCCAGAGTGCCTGCGTTCAAATCCCAGCTCTACAACTTCCAGGCTGTGTGCCTTTGGACAAGTAGCTTCCCCTCTGTGCCCCAGCTGTAGGATGGGTAATACGGGTGCCTATCTCACAGTGTGGCTGGCAGCATTACATGGGTAAGACACAGAGAGTTCCCAAAGTGTCTGGCATGGGATCCTGCCCGTAATCCCAGCACTTTAGGAGGCTGAGGCAGGAAGATTGCTTGAGCCTGGGAGGTTGAGGCTGCAGTGAGCCGTGACTGCACAACCGCACTCCAGCCTGGGTGATGGAGCAAGACTCCATCTCTTAAAAATAAACGTGCTGGCACAGGCGAGTGCTCCCTAGGTGTTAGCCACAGCCCTCTTTCTCTTGCTCCTGCTTGGTCTTGGTCACACTCTTTCCCCTCTCCGTCACCTTTCCTGGCCCTGCCTATCTGTCCCTGTTATTAACACTGCCTACCTCTGCCTCGGAACGACCCTGTACAGTTTTCCAAGTGCTTGGCCTCCATCTCCTATCATCATTTGAGCCAACAGCCCAAGGAGACAGGGGGCAAGGCTTCATCTCACTTTTCCAGTGGGGGACATCAAGGCATAGAGTGCCTGAGCGGTTCGCTGGGGCTCCCTCAGCGTGTTGGAGCCAAGTCAGGACTCAGATTCAGGGCTGTCTGAAACACCAGCTGTCCTGCCCGCCCACCCATACTCCAAGGCAGGGATGGCCAATGGAAGGTTCAAAATTGCCCACATGCTTGTCTGGCCAGTGGGCACTTCCAAATCAAAGATTTCCTATCGAAATCCAGGTTTCAAGCTTTTCCTAGAAAACCTGGAAGATTCTGGAGCCCAGAGCCTAGCTAATAATTGACACCTCTGGGATCCATGTTCTTCATGTATAAAATCAGGATAGGGATAGTACTGATACCCTAAGGCTGTGGTGAGAATGTAGCAGACCTCTGTCCATCAAATAACTTGTAAGCAAATATTCACGGCAGCGTTACTCCTAACAGCCCACAGTGTAAACAACCCAAACGCCCATCAGCTGCTGAGTGGCGAAGCCACACGGGGTGCTCCCATACCGTGGAATATCACGCAGTTGTAAAAGGACTGTGGCAGTAATGCGCCACGGCACGGATGCAACTTGGGCACATGCTGCTGAGTGAGGGATGCCAGACACAAGAGGCCACACAGTGCAGGACTCCGCTTCTGTGAACACCCAGAAGGGGCAAATCCACAGAGGGAGAAAGGTGGTTAGTGGCTAACAGTGGATGGGAGGAGAGAGGAATGGGAGTGATGGCTCAAAGGTACTGGGTTTCTTTTTGGGGTGACAGAAATGTCCTGGAATTAAATAGTGATGATGGTGGCACAACACTGTGAATATCCTGAAGGCCACTCAGTTGCACCCTTTAAAAGAATGAATTTTTGTGGTCACTTATGCCTGTATTCTCAGCACTTTGGGAGGCCGAGGCAGGTGGATCACTTGAGGTCAGCAGTTCAAGACCAGCCTGGCCAACATGGTAACACCCTGTCTCTACCAAAGATACAAAAAAAAAAAAAAATTTAGCCAGGTGTGATGACACGTGCTTGTAATCTCAGCTACTCGAAAGGCTGAAGCAGGAGAATTGCTTGAACCCAGGAGGTGGAGGTTGTAATGAGCTAAGATCGCGCCACTGTACTCCAGTCTGGGCGACAGAGCAAGACTCTCTCTCTCAAAAAAAAAAAAAATTAATTAATTAATTAAATAAAATAATAATAAAAGAATAACTTTTTTTTTTGAGACGGAGTCTCGCTGAGTAACGTCTTTTTTTTTTTGAGACATAGTCTCGCTCTCTCACCCAGGATGGAGTGCAGGGGTGCAACCTCGGCTCACTGCAAGCTCCACCTCCCTCGTCACACCATTCTCCCGCCTCAGCCTCCCAAGTAGCTGGGACTACAGGTGCCTGCCACCACGCCCAGCTAATTTTCGTATTTTTAGTGGAGATGGGGTTTCACCGCGTTAGCCAGGATGGTCTCTATCTCCTGACCTCGTGATCCGCCCACCTCGGCCTCCCAAAGTGCTGGGATTACAGGTGTGAGCCACCGCGCCCAGCCAATAAAAGAATAACTTTTATGTGAGTTTCATCTCAATTAAAAAGCTCCGAAAAGAAAGGAAAAGAAAAACCCATGTAAAGTGCTTAGAACAGGCCTGGCCTTGCAGAAGCACTCAATATTTAGTACAGTTAATACTAACACTACTGCCATAATTATTTTCCTCATTGTAACAGAGTCTGGGTTTTTCAGCCTCATGCCTCCCTCCTCCCCTTCCATTCCACACCTGGGCAAGCGGATGAGCAAGCCTGAGTGCTCCCTCCTTTGGGGTCTGCATCCACAAGACTCAAACCATGCGTGGTGTTGGCCTGTGTGGCGGAACCCTCAGCCCAGCCCCACCCCCAACTACAATGAAACACCTGGCCAGTCTCCTTTCCTCACTCGCAAGGCATCTCAGATCTGCGTGGGAGGCCTGCCTGCTCTCCGCAGAGCACCCCATTATATAAGCAATAAACCTCTCCTATCTTGTTGGTGTGTGTGTGACATCATCAACCTTGACGTTTCAACCAAATCTTAGGTGGGGATCCATCCTCTCTCTGCACACTGGCCAGAAAACAATCATCCTTAGCACGCAGCCCCTGGGCCTCCCACATGCCAACAGCAGGCGGGCTGAGAAGGGGCACACTTCACACAGGGCACATGCCTTGCAACTGGCTGCAGTCCCCACCACGCCCAACTGCCTTACTCCAGCCTGCCGCACTCATTCCCACTGTTGCCCGGCCCTGCAGGTGGGTAGGCGCAGAGTCCTAGGTCTAAGAGAAAGCTGCCTAGCGGCAGGTCTGCAGCTAGGGACATGGCTTCCATTCCCATTCTCAGGAAGGGGTCCCCTCCCACTGTCCTGGTGCTGAGACGACCCAGTCCCCGGCCGCCCATGGACAGAGCGTACCTTCATAGAGAATGCCCTGGTCGTCCCTGGTCTGGAGGAACTTCAGCTTCCACTGTCGCCCACTCTTGTCTGTCAGCACTGTCCCTGTGGGCAAAGCTTCAAGTGAGGTGGTCACCCGGCTCCGCTTCAGTGTCTGAGGGCTCCGCTTCAGCGTCTGAGGGCTCCGCTTCAGCATCTGAGGGCTCTGCTTCAGCGTCTGAGGGCTGCAGCTGGTCTTCTGAGGGCTCTGCTTGGTCTTCTGAGGGCTGCAGCTGGTCTTCTGAGGGCTCTTCCTGGTCTTCTGAGGGCTGCTTTTGGGGGTTGAGGGTCTGCTCCCGGAGCCTGCAGGAGGATGGTAAGAATAAAGCAAAAGCACCATCCAGGAGAGAAAAGTTGGATGGGGAGTGAAACAGTATGCAAACTACTGTTCCTTTATGAATTCGTTCATTCAACAAACACTTCCTTGGACCTTCTATGAGTCAGGCCTTTGAGTGATGACACTGGGGTACAAGATAGGAGTCAGACCTGCATCCTTCCCTCAGGAGTGCCCAGTTTGGTGGGCAAGTCTACTCTAGACACAGCCAGTCAGATGCGGGTCTGAGACAGGGCAGCACAGACAGATATTAGGGCCCAAAAGAGAAAGAGATCCTGCCTGGAGAAGTCAGGGTGAGCTTCCCGGAGGAAGGGATTAGTTAGAGTTGGGTCTTGTTGGATGAGTAGAAGTTTGCCAGGGAAAAAAGGACATTCTAGACATTTACGCAAAAACATCCTGAAAAAGGACTCAGTCCTGATATAGAAAGGGGCCAAAAAATTTGTTAGACCAAAGCCCTGCCCTGGAAGGGTTCCTAGACTGGCAAGAGAATGGGGCGGGTGTGGTGGCAGACAGATCTGGACACAGGAAAAGACATCGTTTACTCTGTTCCTCCCACCCACCATCCCCTAAAGGCAAGTAATGGCAAGAGGCCTCCAGGCGCAGAGGATAATGAGGAGCAAAGGGGACACCTCACACTACCACTGCGGCTATGGCTTCAGATCCAGGGGCCCAGCGAACAGAAGGAACACAGTCCTCAGGCTTCCTGTGTCCTGGGCACTGGCTGGGCACAGGCTGGGCACAGGGAATATACACAAGCTGTGCTGGGTCCTTGCCCGCAAAGGGCCCCCAGTCCAGAAAGTGAGGCAGAAAGGCCCGTGGAGCCTACAGTGACATGCGCTCCAATGAAGGCTGCAGCAGGCATGGGGGGTGCCGATAAAGAGGCTGGAAAGAGGCTCTGGTGGACGATGAGGAGGTCTGGATGCGAGCCTACGGCACTCAAGAGAAGCTTCCTAGAGACCAGACCGGCTGCGTGGCAGTACACAAGGCCAAGACGGAAGGTGAGTGTGTCCTGGGCTGAGGGAACAGGCTTAGCAAAGACCAAGGTTAATCCCCAAAAGTGTTCTCTGGGCAAAGACTGTGTTGAGGGCGAAAGCAGGAACCAGGCCACACAGATGCCAGACTGAAGAGCTTGGTCTGAGGGCACCAGGAACAGTAGGAGGCTGTGTGCAGGGAAGGGCCGGGGCAGCTCTGGGTGCCATAAAGACCCATCTGGGGCCATTCAGAGGCAGACTGGAGCGGGAGATGGGAAGCTGGAGTCAGAGAACAGGCAGAGATGGACGATGCGTGAGCCAGGACTGTGGCAGTTTTGTCCTAAAGATCATTAGACAACCCAACTTTGCTCCACTTAGAGTCAGGCCAGATGGACCTTAACTCTTACCTTTGGATCTCTCAGAGGAACTCAGAGTATCTTCAGACTCAGAACTGTCACCATCTGAGAAGAGGGACAATCGGGGAGAGGTGACGGTGCTGGACCATTTCACTTTCTTAGGAGAGGTTTCAAAACTGGAGTTCAGCCCTCTCTTTGAGCCTAAAGAAAGGCAGACAAAATGCAGACTGGAGTTACAAAGGCCCCTTTGCAGGCTCCACTGGACTGGGAGCCCTGAGGTTATATTCAGCTATGCTCTTCTCTTTGGCCCTCAACACCAATTCTTGCTTCTTCTATCACATAAATATCTAAGTAAACTGTTCCTCTTAGTTGTTCTCACCTTCTTAGGTCTTAGCCTCTCCTGTATCTTCTAGCACTTTGCCACTCTGTGTCCTTTCTACATAATTTCTCTATATGTACGTATATTTGAGATGGAGTCTCACTCTGTTGCCCAGGCTGGAGTGCAGTGGTATGATCTTGGCTCATTGTAACCTCTGCCTCCTGGGTTCAAGCAATTCTCCTGCCTCAGCGTCCCAAGTAGCTGGGATTACAGGCATGCATCAACACATTCAGCTAATTTTTATAGTTTTAGTAGAGACAGGGTTTCACCATGTTGGCCAGACTGATCTTGAACTCCTGACCTCAAGTGATCCACCAGCCTCAGTCTTCCAAAGTGTTGGGATTACAGGCATGAGCCACCATGCCCAGCCTCTTCCATGTAATTTCTTAAAATTTATCTTCTGGTTAACTAATTCTCCCTTCAGCTATGTCTAGTCTGCTGTTTTAACCACCCACTGAGGTTCTGATTACAACGATTATATATATATACACACACACACACTTATATACACACACACGTATATACATATACACACAATGATTGCGTATATATATACACGTACATATATACACATATATAGACACATACATATACATATGTACACATACAATCATTAGAGTTTTTATTCGGTTCCTTCTCTTATTTGCCTGTGCAACTTTAACCTATTCCTTCATTATACTTTCAATTTGTTATTTTATTTATTTAAATGTATTAAGCATGTTTTGTAACCATTCTCATCTATTAATTCTAAGGTCTGTGGTCTTGGCAGGTCTGATTCTGTAGTTTGCTGTTTCTGCTGACTCTCAGGCTAGCTTATTTTCAGGTGTCTTTGTAAATCAACAGAGACGGGTGCTTATGTTCCTTGGACATTGACCTGTGGTAATTCCCTAAGGTTTGTCTTTAAAGGACGTTTTCCAAGAGAAGATTTGTTTATATCAGGCAGGGAGTGGTACCCACATCTCACCACTTTAAGTTAAATGTTCAGCTTGCATTCTGGGGGACCACACAGATCAGTGTGAATTCTGGCTCCAAACTGGTGAGAATGTAAATTCTTGATTAAGAATTCTCAAAGAAGGCTGGGCGTGGTGGCTCATGCCTGTAATCCCAGCACTTTCGGAGGCTGGGGCGGGTGGATTGCCTGAGGTCAGGAGTTGAGGCCAGCCTGTCCAACATGGTGAAACCCTGTCTCTACTAAAAATATAAAAATTAGTTGGGTGTGGTGGCAAGTGCCTGTAAACTCAGCTACTTGAGAAGCTGAGGCAGGAGAATCACTTGAACATGGGAGCTGGAGGTTGCAGTGAGCCAAGATTACACCACTGCACTCTAGCCTGGGTGACAAAGCAAGACTGTCTCAAAAAAAAAAAAAAAAGGAATTATCAAAGAAGACATTCCTCCTTTTTTTACCCACCACCAAGGCTGACAAATGTCTCCACCAATTTTCTCAGTGGAACAATTACTTTTGCTGTAGTTCACCCACTGAGGAGCCCCCGATTTAAGAGGAGGTTAAGAACATGTCCTTTCTTTTTAGTTGACGTTGACTAACTCAGCCAGCATGGTTGGTCCCTGGGCTACTGGAATGGCCTCCTAACTGGTTTCCATGCCTCGAATCCATTTTCCACACAGAGAAGCCACAGAAGTCTTTCCAAAACGCAAAGCCTATCGTGTTGCCTACTTGGCAGAAGCTCTTCCACAGCTCTCCACGTCACCAACGGTTAAAACCAAACTCCTTCCCGTGGCCCTGCCTGTCTTCCCCCAGGCGGAAATGTTTCTTACTCCTCCAGTGTGCCTGGCTCCCTTCACCTCACATCTGCTCCCCATATCACGTCCCAGTGCCTGGAACACACGTGCCAAATCCCACCTTGCTCATTCTTTTTTTTTTTTGAGACGGAGTTTTGCTCTTGTTGCCCAGGCTGGAGTGCAATGGCACAATCTCGGCTCACCACAACCTCTCCCTCCCGGGTTCAAGTGATTCTCCTGCCTCAGCCTCCCAAGTGAGTAGCTGGGATTACAGGCATGCGCCACCTTGCCCGGCTAATTTTCTATTTTTAGTAGAGATGGGGTTTCTCCATGTTGGTGAGGCTGGTCTCAAACTCCCGACCTCAGGTGATCAGGCTGCCTCAGCCTCACAAAGTGCTGGGATTACAGTTGTGAGCCACTGTGCCCGGCCCATTCTTTTTCATCCCTAGCTCAGTTCAAACTTTACCCACTTAGGGAGGTTTTCCCTGATCCCCCGAAAAACATGTTCTCTTATATGTGTTCCAGGGTCCATTCAGTTCCCCTCTGTTATCATGCAACCTACTGATAATCATGTACTCAATGTCTGTCACCTTACTGAGCTGTAAAAACTATGAGAGAACAGAAACCACGGCTGTCTCGTTTCTTACCATAATCCTCAGGACAAATATAGCACCTCAGCACATGGCCGGTCACTCACACATATTTGCCATCTGAGGACTGAGGGAGTGAATAACGAACTGGGCTCTAGGTCAGCATTAGGAAAGGCAGAGGTTGGGTTAAGAACTGACTCTGGCCAGGCACGGTGGCTCATGCCTGTAATCCCAACACTTTGGGAGGCCAGATGGGTGGATCACCTGAGGTCAGGAGTTCAAGACCAGCCTGGCCAACATGGTGAAACCCGGTTTCTACTAAAAATACAAATATTAGCCAGGTGTAGTGTTGCACGGCTATAATACCAGCTACTAGGGAGGCTGAGGCAGGAGAATCGCTTGAACCTGGGAGGTGGAGGTTGCAGTGAGCCGAGATTGTGCCGCTGTACTCCAGCCTGGGCGACAGAGCCAGACTCTGTCTTAAAAAAACAAAGGCCAGGCGCAGTGGCTCACGCCTGTAATGCCAGCACTTTGGGAGGCCAAGGTGGGTGGATCACAAGGTCAGGAGATGGATACCATCCTGACTAACACAGTAAAACCCCGTCTCTACTAAAAATACAAAAAATTAGCCGGGCGTGGTGGCGGGTGCCTGTAGTCCCAGCTACTCAGGAGGCTGAAGCAGGAGAACAGCGAGAACCCGGGAGGTGGAGCTTGCAGTGAGCCAAGATCGCGCCACTGCACTCCAGCCTGTGCGACAGAGCAAGACTCCATCTCAAACAAAACGAAACAAAACACAACAAAAAAAAACACTCTGACTCTCAAGTTGGGCCAAGGCCAACGCTGTTCACATTTGCCTGGAACTGTGGAGATGAAGAAGTCAACTTGAGATCTCAAGGCAGTAAGCACGGGAACAAAAGCTATATGCTAAGGATGGCTCAGTGGAAAGACAGAGGAGCCTGGGTCCCTTAGGGCATCATAGGGACACTATCCCAACATGCACTGTCTCCTTTTTTTCAGTAAGAAAAATACTGCTCTACATACTTGCCAGTGAAAGAAAATAAAAATAAACCCAATCATTTGTTTAAACCCTTGTCATAGCATTTTCTGTTATTTGCAGCTTAAATACACTCCCAAATGATAAAACGAATGTCACTCAACTCCCCGCCATGTAGGCTGACTGCCTTCTGCACAACTGTCCGATGGGTAAACCCTCTCTGATTTACCAACATTGTATCTGGGCTTGGCCTTCCAGTGAGCAAGACCAACTATTGATATTTAATTCATTCAACCAGTCAGTAAGATTTCTCAGCACCTGATACTGTGCCAGGCACAGACCCAGGTGCTGTGCTAACAGCAGGTTACAAAACCACAATCAACACAGGTTACAGAAACACAAAAAGTTTCTGTCCTCATGGAGCTTACAGAAGAAGCAATATAAGTAAAATACTATATTTAATAGGGTTGAGACAAGTACCAAAAACAAATACACGGCAAGGAAGGGGGACAGGATCATTGCATAGAGGGAAGATGCAACTTTAATTAGTAGTGGTAGGGAAAGTGTCTCTGAGAAAGTGACAACTGAATAAATACCTGAAGGCATGGATGGGCGCAGTGGCTCATGCAATCCAACACTTTGGGAGGCCGAGGCTGGTGGATCACTTCAGGCCAGGAGTTCAAGACAAGCCTGGCCAACGTGGTGAAACCCCATCTCTACTGAAAATACAAAAATCAGCCGGGCATGGTGGTACATACCTGTGATCCCAGCTACTCGGGAGGCTGAGGCACAAGAATCACTTGAACCCGGGAGGCGGAGGTTGCAGTGAGCTGAGATTGTGCCACTGCACCCCAGCCTGGGCGACAGAGCCAGACTCAGTCTCAAAAACAAAAACAAAAACAACAAAAAACAAAACCTGAAGGCAGTGAAAGAGTGGGGCATGCAGGCCCATAAGGGAAGAGGCATCCAGGAGGGAGCGGCAAGCGCACAGGCTGAGGCCCAGGCATGCTGAGGCGTGGAGGGGCAGCCGGGAGGCCAGTGCAGCTGGAACAGCACGGGCAGCAGCAGGAGGGTCGGGAGGTGGAGTCTGAGGGGAAATGGGGACCTGGTCCTGTCGCCTCACGTGGGAAAGTACGAGCAGAGGAATGACGGGCTCTGACTCTGTATTCACAGGACCCCTCTGGCGGCTGCGTGAAGAGGACTACAGGGACAAGACAGGGGAGCCGAGGGCAAAAAGGCTTCTGCACAAGAGAGGTGAGGGCAAGGGATGTGGGAGGTGCGGGGAAGTGGGCTGATACTGCACTGATTGTAGAGGGAGCCAACAAGATTTGCTGAAGGGGTGGGCGGGTCAAGGGGTTGGAGACAAAGAGAACTCATGCATGACCCCCAGGGTCCGGCCTGAGAAACTAGACGGAGGGCTATTCTCGGCAATGGGGAAGACTATGGCAGGGCAGGCGGCAGGAACACCAGGAGCTCAGGTGAAGGCAAGTTCAGACTGAGATGTGATCAGGACATCCAACACAGGTTAAGCATCCCAAATCCAGAAATCTGAAATGCAAAATGCTCCAAAATCTGAAACTTTGAGTGCCAACAGGATGCTCAAAGGAAATTTCACTGGGCTACTGTGGAGTTCAGATTTTTTTTTTTTTTTTTTAATCGAGTCTCACTCTGTTGCCCAGGCCGCAGTGCAGTGGCACAATCTCAGCTCACTGTGACCTCCGCCTCCTGGGTTCAAGCGATTCTCCTGCCTCAGACTCCCAAGTAGGTGGGATTACAGGTGTGCGCCACTATGCCAGCTAATTTTTGTATTTTTAGTAGAGATGGGATTTCAGGATGTTGGCCAGGCTGGTCTCGAACTCCTGACCTCAAGTGCTCTGCCTGCCTCAGCCTCCCAAAGTGCTAGGATTATAGGCATGAGCCACTGTGCCCAGCCAGATTTCAGATTTTTGAATCAGGATGCTCAACCAGTAAGTATAATGCAAATATTCCAAAATCTGAAAAAATCCAAAATGAGAACACTTCCGGTCCCCAACATTTCGGATAAGGGATACTCAACCTGCAGGTGCCAAGCAGGCAGGCTGCACATATATCTCCTCCAAGCAGGGGAGTCCAGGCTGGCTGGAGATAGAAATGAAGGAATTGTTAACATGGAAACAGTGTCCAAAGCCATGAGGCCAATAAGAGGCCAAGGGACTGAGAGTAGGCAGAGGGGTCCAGTCCTGAGGCCTGGGCTTCTCCAGCATCAGGACAGGGTCAGACAGGCTGCAAAGGCATCCTCCCTCCCCACCTCCCCAGACACACACGTGCATGCACCTCATCCCCACTGCAGAAATGGGCTCAAAGCTCTGGTTCTTACCTCGGAAGGATGACACAAGCGAACTGACAGAGGTTTCGGATGCCACATGCTCCTCCTCTGTGGGCAGAGAATTTCCACAGTAGGGGCAGAACTTGAATGCCGCTTGGATACTTTTGCCACAGTCTGGACAGAAGGAGATCATGCTACAAAACAGAATGAACAAACACAAAGTCAAACGGGCCGGCTGAAGGTCAGTGGAAGTATTGTTGGAGAACTGCTCTTAATCACAGGGTGAGTGTGCATGAGGCATAGCCAGGGTCTTCAACTATGTTTGTGATGTTCACCTTTTTTTTTTTTTTTCTGAGACCGGAGCTCGCCTGTCACCCAGGCTGGAGTGCAGTGGCCGGATCTCAGCTCACTGAAGCTCTGCCTCATCCCGGTTACGCCCATTCTTCTGCCTCAGCATCCTCGAGTAGCTGGACTAACAGGTGCCCCGCCACCTCGCCCGGCTAGTTTTTTTTTGTATTTTTAGTAGAGACCCGGGGTTTCACTGTGTGAGCCAGGATGGTCTCGATCCCCTGACCCTCGTGATCCGCCTGTCCGTGCCTCCCAAAGTGCTGGGATTACAAGGCGCGTTGAGGCCACTCGCCGCACCGGCCCTCTTTTTTTTTTTTTTTTACCTTTTTTGTAGAGATGCGTGTCCCTTGCTATGTTGCCCCTGCGTCTCAAACTCCTGAGCTCAAGCCTTTCTGCCCCTTGGCTTCACCAAACAGTGCTGGGATTACAAGGTGCTGGGCCACTATCGCTAGATTCTTATGTGCAACAAAGCGTTTGTTTACGAAATCTGTGAATGGTTGCCGGCGCGGTGGGGGTTCAAGCCTGTAATCCCCAGCCCTTTTGGAGGCCGACGACATGGCGGCATCACGAGGTCAGGAGATCGAGACCATCCTGGCTGACATGGTGAAACCCCGTCTCTACTTTACAAACATACCAACAATACTAGCCGGGCGACGGTGGGCCGAGCCTGTACGTCCCAGCTACTCAGGAGGCTGAGGCAGGAGAATGGCGTGAACCCGGGAGGCGGAGCTTGCCGTGAGCTGAGATCCGGCCACTGCCCTCCAGCCTGGGCGGCAGAGCGAGACTCCGTCTCAAAAAAAAAAAAAGAAATCTGTGATGGTTTGTTTTATTTATTTATTTATTTTGAGACAGAGTTTCACTCTGTCACCCAGGCTGCAGTGCAGTGGCGCGATCTTGGCTCACTGCAACCTCCGTCTCCCAGGTTCAAGTGATTTTCCTGTCAGTGTCCTGTGTGGCTGGGACTCCAGGTGTGCCCTACCACACCCAGCTAATTTTTTTTTCTTTTTTGAGATGGAGTTCTGCTGTTGTCGCCCAGGCTGGAGTGCAGTGGTGCGGTCTCGGCTCACTGCAACCTCTGCCTCCTAGGTTCAAGCGATTCTCCTGCCTCAGCATCCTGAGTAGCTGGGACTACAGGTAAGTGCCACCACACCTAGCTAATTTTTATATACAAGTATGCGCCACCACACCCAGCTAATTTTTATATTTTTAGTACAGATGGGGTTTCACCATGTTGGCCGGGATGGTCTGGAACTCCTGACCTCAAGTGATCCACCTGCCTCAGCCTCCCAAAGTGCTGGAATTACAGGTGTGAGCCTCCACACCTGGCAGAAATCTGTGATGGTTTTAAATGGCTTCATGTTACATAGAATTTCCCCAGATGCTGGCTGCCCTCCGGGAAAGATGCCTCCAGGACGCAGCAAGTGCCTAAGCACGCGAGCCCTGCCATACCCACCACAATGTTCTTTCTGGGAGTAAAGCTGGCCAGCAGCAACCCAGAGGAGACAAGCAGGAGCCAGCTGCTGGTGGGAAAAAGGAAAAAGGCCTTGAGAGGCTATGCCCAAGGGATAATACCTTTACGAGGTCACGGTCTGGCCTTTGGATTTATTGGGCTGGAAACTCCATTTTGACAGCGACCTGTAAGTGAACAAAAGTGGAGTGGCTGACTCATGCTTTCACACAGAAAGGAAAGATAATAGCTAATGTTTATTGAGCACTGGTCATGTCACCAGCATGTGCCAAATCCATTTGTTCGTTTATTCACTCATTCATTCACTCGATAATTATTCACCGAGTTTCCTGTTTATGCCGGTCACTGGGGAAACAGCAGCAAAGGAAACAACCCAGCCCCTGCCTTCAGGATGCTCAAGTTCTGGTGGGGAAGAGAAGCTAACAAACAAATGAGCAAGGAACCGCTGAACAGGTCAGATGGAGAAAGTGCTATGGAGGACAATAAAGTACCACAGAAGAAAACAGGATGGGCCGGGCGCGGTGGCTCAAGCCTGTAATCCCAGCACTTTGGGAGGCCGAGACGGGCGGATCACGAGGTCAGGAGATCGAGACCATCCTGGCTAACACGGTGAAACCCCGTCTCTACTAAAAAAATACAAAAAACTAGCCGGGCGAGGTGGCGGGCGCCTGTAGTCCCAGCTACTCCGGAGGCTGAGGCAGGAGAATGGCGTGAACCCAGGAGGCGGAGCTTGCAGTGAGCTGAGATCCGGCCACTGCACTCCAGCCTGGGTGACAGAGCGAGACTCCGTCTCAAAAAAAAAAAAAAAAAAAAAAACAGGATGCCACAGAGTTTGATGGATCACTATTCACACAGGGCGGCCAAGGAGGGACTCACCCAGAGGGAGGCATCTGAGCTGAGACCCAAAGGAAATCAGGGAGCGAGTTGTCAATATCTGGGAAGGAGTCCTCCAGGCAGAGAGCTTTCTATGCATTATCCTATTTAGTCTATACAACAGCCCAGGACGCTGGCTCCAGAATTATCACCACTTCATAGGAGAGTATGGCACTCGTATTTTCCAAAGCAGGTCACAGCAGTATTTCTGGTCCTGTGTGCTCCTTGGAACCTTGTAACCTCTCTTCCCAGGAGTCAGGGTCTCTGTTCCTCCCCCTTTGGAGCTGGGCAGAGCCGTGACTGCTCCTACCAACAGAGGACTGGCAGCAGTAAGGCCAAGAGACTTCCAAGTCTGGGTCATAAAAAACAACTCGCACCTGGCTGGCTCACTCAGGCTGCTCACCCATGGAAGCCAGTTTCCATGGCATGAGGCAGCCTAAAGTAGCCCAGGCAGAGAAACCACATGGAGAGGCTCAGGTGGAGAAGAACTGAGGCCCCCGGCCAACAGCCAGCATCAGCTGCTAGGTGAGTGGGCAAGTCCTCAGACCACTTAAATCCCAGCCTTCAAATCTTCCTGCTAAGGCACAGGCATTGGGGAGCAGAAACAGGCCACTCTGCTGTGCTCACTCTGAATTCCTGGCCCACAGGATCCATGGGCACAAGAAATGGCGGTTCTACACCAGTGAATTGTGGGATAATTTTTTCCTAGACACAGTAACCAGAACAGAGAGTTCCTGCTGCACAGAGGTTAAGTCACTGAAGACGGTTCTCATTTCATGACAGTTCAGTATGTGCAGATCACTGTACTAAGTTCTCGGGAGGTATTCCCAATCACCCTTTTCAAGGTAAGAATGATTTCCCCTTTGGGGAGATGAGAAGCAGAGGCTCAGGGAGAAAATGACTTGCCCAGGGCCACACAGCTCTTAAGTGGCAAGCCAGACACATGATTTTGTTTAATCTTCCCCTCCATTCTATGAGGTAGGGATGATCATCCCATCTTTGAAACCTGCAAAATGATGCTCAAAGGGTGACAATTCTCCTTCCCCCAGACCTGACTCCACTCACCTAGAAAACAGTGGGGACGCAGCTGGAACCCAGAACCTAAAAGCCCATGTTCTTAACCTGGTGCCAGTTCACACAACGAAAATGCAAAACCGGACTGGGATCTTGGGGCAGCAGGTCAGAACATTCTTGTAGATTTAAATCTGGAAGCTGATGTTGGGTGTGGAATCAGGGTAAGAGAGTCTTTTAACCATGTGCCACCCCCGGTTCTGACACCGTCACCAGCCTGGTCTAGGCCACCATCTCTCCCTTGTGCTACTGCAGCAGCTTCCTAACTAGACTTCCGGCTTCTACGCTTGTCCCTACATCGATTTTCAACCCAGTAGCTAGAGGGGTCCATTTAAAATCTAAGTCAGACCCTGCCCCTGTCAGACCCTGGCCCATACGGTGGGTCGGACACGGTGGCTTACGCCTGTAATCCCAGCACTTTGGGAGGCCGAGGTGGGCGGATCACGTGAGGTCAGGAGTTCCAGACCAGCCTGGACACCATGGTGAAACCCCGTCTCTACTAAAAACACACACACACACACACACACACACACATCAGCCGGGTGTGGTGACAGGCGCCTGTAATTCCAGTTACTTGGGAGGCTGAGGCATGAGAGTCACTTGAACCGGGGAGGTAGAGGTTGCAGTGAGCCAAGGTCGCACTGCTGCACTCCAGCCTGGGCGACAGAGCGAGACTCAGTCTCATAAACAAACAAATACATTAAAAAAAATGTAAGTCAGTCCCTGTCCCTCCTCTACTCAAAACCATATGGTGGATTTCATTTTAAACAGAATCAACACCAAAATTCCTACCATGGCCCAGGAGCCCCTGTATGATCTGCCACTTCCCTGTTCCCTCTCTGACCTCTCCCACCATCTCGCCTTGCTCATGCTGAGTCAGCCACACTGGCTTCGGTGCTTTTCCCCAATTGTGACAAGAACGCTTCTTCCCCAAGACCTTTGCACCTGCTCTCCCATCTGCCTGGAACACTGTTCCCCCAAGAGTACACACACGTCACTTCCTCATCACCTTCTTTAGCTCTCTGTTCAAATGTCACCTTCTCAGAGATCTTCTTGGACACGATTTTACTGTGTTTTTTCTTTTCTTTTTTTTGAGACGGAGTTTCGCTCTTTTGGCCCAGGCTGGAGTGCAATGGTGCGATCCTGGCTTACTGCAACCTCTGCCTCCTGGGTTCAAGTGATTCTCCTGCCTCAGCCTCCCATGTAGCTGGGATTACAGGTGCGTGCCACCACGCCTGGCTAATTTTGTATTTTTAGTAGAGATGGGGTTTCACCATGTTGGCCAGGCTGGCCTTGAACTCCTGACTTCAGGTGATCCCCCCACCTCGGCCTCCCAAAGTCCTGGGATTACAGGCTCAAGCGACCGTGCCTGGCCCTGGACACCATTTTACTAATAGCGTGTTTTATCCTCCTTACCTTGCTTTATTTTTCTTCACAGTGCTTGTCACCACCTGACATACTCTGAGTTACTAGAATGTAAGCTTCATAATGGCAGGGACTTTTCCCTGTCTGGTTTGCCACAGTATGCCCAGAGCCTCACACAGGCCTGGCACAGAGCAAATGCTGGGTCTACGTTTGCTGAGTGAATAAATCATTGTCTCCTTTGCAGAAGAAAACGTGCCAAGAAGGCAGGGGGGTCCCCAGCTGTGTCACACACATTCATCTTTCAGGCAAGTCTAGACATCTAGCCAGAGACTCAAAGCTCAGGGCCAGAATTATCTAGCTGGATGGTCCTTAAAAAAGACCTGCCACTTAGAAACAGATCTGTATAGGGGTTAAGAGGATAAACTTGGGACATAATCTGCCTGGGTTTGGATCTTGCTTCTGCCATGTATTACATGATGGTGGGCAAAAAATATATATTATTTTTTCCCTTTGGGACAGAGTTTTGCTATGTCACCGAGGTTGGAGTGCAGTGGCACGATCTCAGCTCACTTGCAACCTCCGCTTCCTGGATTCAAGCGATTCTCCCTGCCTCAACCTCCTGAGTAGCTGGGATTACAGGTGCATGCCACCATGCCCGGCTAATTTTTTTATTTTTAGTAGAGACGGGGTTTCACCATGTTGGCCAGGCTGGTCTCGAATTCTTGACCCCAGGTGATCCGCCCGCCTCGGTCTCCTAAAGTGCTGCGATTACAGGCGGAAGCCACCATGCCCAGTCAAATTTTTTGGATTTTAGAACCTATTACATATTACATATTACAACACCGGCGAGATCCAGGGGCAACTCTCCATAAGCAAGTATATGATTTGCACAACAAAATCTTTAAAAATTCTAAATAGTCACACATCAGTTCAGAGTGGGTATTGCCAGCAAACAAGTTCAAAGCCAGGTGAGGTTGGGCTACCAGGTAAGTTGCAAAACAGAGAAAAAGATCTTTCAGTTTTTACAACGTTTTGGATTTTAAAGTCATAGATAAAGGATTGCAGACCTGTAAATACTCTTTAACATTTCTTTTTTAGTGTCTGGCATCCCCAACCACCCTGAAAATGTGAATTAGCTGGGCAGGATTTTTGTTTTAGACACTGCTATAATAACGTGGGCTTGAGCAGTGCCTATTAGACTAGCACCGTTCAAGCCCCGGTTATAGTAGGGTAAGATCGGTTGTACGGAGCCTTCCATATAGTAAACACTCAGTAAAAGTGGATGTGCTGAAGTCACCTATGCAATGGCCAGGTCAGGACTTGAAAGCCGAAGACTCCAACCCTCAGGCCAGTCTTTATCTTAATTTATTTGACTTACTCAACAAATGTTTAGTGAACAGCTGCTATGTGTCAACTACTGCATAGTGTTCCTCCTACAATCTTCAGGAGACAACAGCAAAAAGGCTAAAGGTCAGACCCCACCCCAACGCAGGTGGGCGGTTGCCTAGGCGACAGAGACTCCCTTCGGCCCCATCCTCCATAGAAACCATGGGATGACTTAGATGCCAAGTTTGACAGCGGAGGAGCCAAAGGTGGCTTCGGAAGCTCAAGAGAAAGCCAGTGAACCCCGCGACCCGGAGCCGCTCTCATTCCGAACCCCGACCGCAGGGGCCCCCACCTCCTACAAAGGGTCGTGCTGACGTCACGGACACCCCAGCCGAGCTGCGGCTAGGGGGTCGGGGGACGTACGGCCATTCCGCCTCGCTTCCCCTCACCTCTTTACTTAGCGACGGGGTTGGGATTCTAGGCTTCTGCAGCCTGACCCTTCGGATCCTCCGCAGTTACCGGGACTCACCTTCTCGGTTGCCCCGCGAAAACTTCCGCTGGGCGGAGAGCGCTGCGCGCGCATCCTGAGCCTGTGGCGTCCGCGCAGGCGCCGCGGACTTCCCGAAGGCCCCTGGGCTTCGCCTACCTGCGAACTCCGTTTCCCAGAGGCCTCCGCGGCAGGCCCGCCCTCTGATTCCAGACGGAATGGGGATTATTCCGTCATTACTCATCCCCCTCCCCACCGTTCTAGCCTCCTTGGAAGGCCTTCTGGTTCTACTGCGCATGTGTCAGTGTGAAACCAATCGGAATACACCGTAAGGCATCTCTCCACCAGTCAGAGGTCACATTACCACTTCTCCCGCCTCAACTCCACCCCTTACTTCCGCGCGTTTTCTCAGAAATCCCGTCTCAACACGTTTCCATGGCAACCTACCGCTTGCTCTTCGGAAGAGGGGAAGACTCCCAGTCTTCTAATAAAGGCAAGAAGCTAATTAGATGATTATTTAACAAGGTAAAAATCTGGACTACAAACCCTGATGCCGCCTGGTCCTGATTCTGTTTCTACTCTACTCCCAGAGTGCTAAGGCTGAAGAAGCGGGAGGAGATGGGAAGGCGAATGAAGTCGCCCGCACAGCCCTCTGGGAAATAGAGTCTTGGCGCTGGCGCGGAGGACCCTGGGTGCAGCCGCTCAGAGAAGCTTCTCGCGCGCAGGAAGTTGCTGCGAAGAGGCGCGTGTGCGAGGAGTTGAATCTCCCGCTCCCTCGAGGCTGGGGTTGCGTCTGTTGACGCGGCCGATTACAATCCCGAGGTACGGACACGCTGGGGCTGAGGGACTTGGGGGCTCGGTCCTTCCTGAGAGGTGACGGAATGGAAGTGGGGGCGACTGCGGCAAAGGGTGCGTCGTCTTGGGCGGCGGTTGCCTGGGTGGAGGTGTGAACCGTCTTTCACAGTCTGTTAGGAAAGCCGCTCAAGGGCCGGGCACGGTGGATCACTCCTGTAATCCCAGCACTTTGGGAAGCCTTGGCGGGGGATCACTTGCGGCCAGGAGTTCCTCGAACCCTGTCTCTACTAAAAATACAAAAATTAGCTGAGCGTGGTGGCGGGCGCCTGTAATCCCAGCCACTCGGGAGGCTGAGGCAGGAGAATCGCTTGAACCCATGAGGCGGAGGTTGCAGTGAGCCGAGATCGCGCCATTGCACTCCAGCCTGGGTGACGGAGCGAGACTACGTCTTAAAAAAAAGGAAGAAAAGCACCTTGAGAGGCCAAGGCGGGCGGATCGCTTGAGCCCAGGATTTCGAGGCTAGCCTGGGCCACATGGTGAAACCCTGTCTCTACAAAAAAAGAAAAAATACAAAAATTAGCCGGGCGTGGTGGCGCGCGCCTGTAGTCGTAGCTAATTGGGAGACCGAGGTGGGAGGATTGCTTGAACCCGGGAGGCAGAGGTTGCAGTGAGCCGAGATGGCACCACTGCACTCCAGCCTGGGCGACAGAGCAAGACCCTGTCTCAAAAAGAAAAAAGAAAACCGCTAAAGGGGTTTCCAGCCCTCCCTGACGGCCCTGAGAGGAGTGATTCTGTTTTATTTTGGTTTTGGTTGGGGAAGGAGGGAAATGAGTTACCTGAAGTTGGCAGAACCTGAAGTTGGCAGATTTAGGCAGAATCTTGCTGGAGGATGGATGAGAGTTCTTGGGGAAGTTGAAGTACTTAACATTTTCAGTACTTGAGCGCTTTCTGTGTGCCAGGCGCCCTGCTGGAGTCCTTTTTCCTCTCCTGATCCCCGCAGCAGCATTGAGACATAGGTGCAGGTCCCCTTGGCAACAAGGCAATCTTGGGAATCAGAATTTTTCAAATTTTAGAAAGCTAATAGGGTGTGTATTTTATAATTAGTCAGCACCCCCCCACCCCGAGGAATCTGGGCCAGTTCTTGGTCATAAAATGTTTCTATGGGTCAAGGTGTGGATATTCACACTTAGCAGAATTTTAAGACCCTACATGGCCTGTGGCGATCCAGGTGAAGTTTTGCGGTCAGTTTATAAATCAAGTTCCGTTCTTTGGAGCATTTAAAGGACCGTGGATCTGTTGTATTTGTTCCATTTGGTACTTGTGGAAACTGAGGCTTAGAGAAGGTAAATGATCTGGAAGGAGGTGCAAGACTCTCAGGCCCAAGGTTTTCAGCCCGATAATTGTTTGGCTTAAGTCACTCTGGGTTGGATGACCTTGGGCTCCACCTCTGGGCCCTCATTTCTTTCCTCCCAGGGCTAAGAGTATATGAGATGTGGACAGAATGTGATTTGGTAACTGCACACAGGGGTCTCAAGCTCAGCTGTCTGTGAGGGCCAGGCAGATAACATAGAGGAAAGAAGAGAATTGGTCCAAGTGAGGCTGCGGGGCCTTGGAGAGCACTTGCTTCATATAAAGGGAGAGTTGTATTTGGTTTTTTTTGTTGTTGTTCTTTGTTTGTTTGTTTTGGAGACAGAGTCTTGCTCTGTCACCCAGGCTGGAGTGCGGTCTCACTGGAACCTCCACCTCTCGGGTTGAAGCGATTCTCCTGCCTCAGCCTCCCAAGTAACTGGAATTACAGTCATGCACCACCACGGCTAATTTTAGTATTTTTGGTAGAGACGGAGGTTTCACCATGTTGACCAGGCTGGTCTCAGACTCCAGTTCAGGTGATCTGCCCACCTCGGCCTCCCAAAGTGCTGGGATTACAGGCATGAGCCACTGCACCCAGCCTCTTTTTAAACTTAAATTTATTTATTTTTTTTTTGGAGGCGGGATCTTTCTCTGTCACCTAGGCTAGAGTATAGTGGCACAATCATAGCTCACTGCAGCCTTGTGATCCTCCTACCTCAGCCTTCCAAGTAGCTGGGACTACAGGCACGTGGTATCACAACTTGCTTATTTTTAAATTTTTTTGTAGAAACAAGGTCTTGTTATGTTGCCCAGGCTGGTCTTGAACCCACTTCAGCCTCCCAAGGTGCTGGGATTATAAGCATCCCCCACTTGCCTAGCACTGGTCGGAGAGCTTTAAATGGGCTCCAGTGAACTAACTTCGTGGGATGTAGACCCAGTGTTGCCAAATCCTAGGGTGTTTCAGAAGTTGGAAACCTAATTTTTAGGTGAAATTTTCCAGTTTTCAAGTTTGAGACTAGTGAGCCATGGTTAAATTTTCTTTCAAAACATTCTGTCTGCCAACAAACATTATGGACCAAATATCTGTCAACTGAGTTATACTCATAGATTGAGGCTTAACCTCTGACATGTAAAAAAACTCATTGTTCAGTAGAATTAGTATTTATTGTAGGTCTACCATATTCCCATATCTGTAGTCTCAAAAATCTGGAAAACTCAGAACAAATTTTTTTTTTTCATAAATTTAGTATTCATGCCTTACCTGAACTACTACAGGGTATTTTTTTAAAATATAACTTTAAATTATTCTACCTAGAATGAATAATTATTCCTTTCTCTAGAAATGGTAAAGTGTTCAATTATGAAGTGCAGCCTGATCCACACTGTGCTGGGATTTTGTTTTGTATTGTTTCTGTTTTTGAGACCGAGTCTTGCTCTGTCGCCCAGGCTGGAGTGCAGTGGCACAATCTCGGCTCACTGCAAGCTCCACCTCTTGGGTTCACACCATTCTCTCACCTCAGCCTCCCAAGTAGCTGGGACTACAGGCGCCCGCCACCACACCTGGCTAATTTTGTTTTTGTATTTTTAGTAGGGATGGGGTTTCACTGTGTTTGTTAGCCAGGATGGTCTCAATCTGACTTCGTGATCCGCCCGCCTCAGCCTCCCAAAGTGCTGGAATTACAGGTGTGAGCCACCACGGCCAGCCCTGCACTGGGATTTTAATGAAATATGCCATATATATATGCTATATCACCTTTTTAAAATAAAAGTTGAATGTCAAAGCACATCTGGTGTTGGAGTTTGAAGAATTTGTGGACTTGTGTCATTGTTAAGTGATCCGTGCTGCTTTGTGCTTTCAGCACTCCGCAGATATATGCCACTTGGTCCAGGCAATGGATACAAATGGGTAAAGATGTCTGTGGTACGATGTTTTGCATATTATGGGTCATGAAAATAACTGGGTGCAGTGACTATGTTTTTTTTGTTGTTGTTTTTTTTTTTAGACGGAGTCTTGCTCTGTCGCCCACGCTGCAGTGCAGCAGTGGCGCGACCTCGGGTCACTGCAAGCTCTGCCTCCCGGGTTCACGCCATTCTCCTGCCTCAGCCTCCCGGGTAGCTGGGACTACAGGCGCCAGTCACCACGCCCGGCTAATTTTTTGTATTTTTAGTAGAGATGGGGTTTCACTGCGTTAGCCAGGATGGTCTCAATCTCCTGACCTGGTGATCCGCCTACCTCGGCCTCCCAAAGTGCTGGGATTACAGGCTTGAGCCACTGCGCCCGGCCAAGTTGAAATATTTCTGTTGTAGAGATAGCGGCCAGGTGCGGTGGCTCACACCTGTAATCCTAGCACTTTGAGTGGCCGACGAGGGTGGCTTACTTGAGGTCAAGAGTTTGAGAACAACCTGGGCAACAAACAGGTGAGATCCTGTCCCTACAAAAAGTGAAAAAGATTAGCTGGATGTGGTGGCACATGCTTGTAGTCCCAGTTACTTGAGAGACTGAGGTTGGAGGATTGTTTAAGCCCAGGAGATTACAGCTGCAGTGAGCCATGATTGAGCTGCTGTAGTACTCCAGCCTGGCAGCAGAGCAAGACCTTGTCTCCAAAAAAAAAAAAAAAAAAAGGAACAGTTTTGGAGGCTGATTTACGTGAACTCAAATTCTAGAGATGATAACCAGAAATCCCAGAAGCATTGTTCCATTGGTTCTTTAGACACCTTCATTCTGTCAACAACATAGGTTAAAGGTTATTCTGTCAACAACAATAGGTTAAAGCACCTATTGTACACTAAGCGACACAGCAGTGAGCAAGACAGAAGTTCCCACTGCGGCCATAGACTTTCCTCACCAAATCTCCTAAACATGTTTTTACTGACTATGTTAGGTGCTAACAGTGGTGGCGAAGCTGTTCTGTAGGTTCTGAAGCACAGTGGAG